ATCTCCTGCTTTGCTTAGCTTTGGTGCTTCCACCGCTTCACTGTCGCCCCGCGCGACTGCTGCGCTTTCCTTCACCTTGGACTCTGGCGCCTCCCGGTGTTTCTTCCGCGACTCCACGACGCTGACGCCGCTGCCTGTTCCTGCTGCAGTTACTCTTGCTGACCCCTCCGGTGGTCCCGTCTTTGCCCGCAGTTCCACCTCCCTTCCCTGTCCGGCGGTTCCTTCAGGTTCGCTCACCGGTCTGCATATCCTCTCGTTCTCCAGGAACCTAGTTGGTGTCGGCTGCCTCCAGGACCTTGGCGTCACCACTACGTTCCCTGGTCACGAGCGGTATGCTGTCTGTACCGAGGCCGCCACTGGTGCCCCCCTTACCACTTTCCCCCGGGACCCGGTGTCCGGCCTGTTTACACTTGACACCGCGACGTCCCCGGCTGGGTCTTCCCCCCAGGTAGCTGCGTCCACCCAGGTTGCTGCTGCGTGCTCCTGTCGGTCCCTCACTCATCCGACTCTCCTTTGGCACCACCGCCTTGGTCACCCTGCACTCCCGCGTCTGCGTCACATGTCCCAGCACGGTCTCGTCCTTGGTCTCCCCGGTTCGTTCCCTGAGTTTCCCTCATCCCCCGCCCCACCGTGCACGCCTTGTGTCGAGGGCCGGCTCCGCCGTGCCCCTCACTCCTCCTCTTTTCCCCCTACCACCGCACCCCTGCAGACTCTGCACATGGACGTCTGGGGCCCAGCCCCGGTCCATGGGCCGCGTCGCGAGCGCTTCTTCCTAGTGCTTGTCGACGACTTCACACGTTACACCACCGTCTTTCCCCTGGAGCGGAAGGCCGACGTGCCTGACGTTCTCATCCCCTGGCTTGTCTCTGCTCGTCTCCACCGCGGTCTCCCTGCCTTGCGCCTCCACTCCGACCGGGGTGGCGAGTTCGCCTCAGGTGTCCTTGGTCGCTTCTGTCGTGCGGAGGGCATCACCCAGACGTTTACCCTGCCGGACTCCCCGCAGCAGAATGGGGTCGCTGAGCGACGCATCGGTTTGGTCATGGAGGTGGCTCGCACCTCCATGATCCACGCCGGTGCACCCCATTTTCTGTGGCCGTTCGCCGTGCGCTACGCTGCTCACCAGCTTAACCTGTGGCCGCACCCCCAGCGGCCGCAGGTTTCGCCGACCCTTCTGTGGACCGGGTCCCCTGGTGACGCGTCTGCGTTCCACGTCTGGGGCTGCCTTGCTCACGTTCGTGCCTCTGGCACGGACAAGCTCACTGCCCGCACCCTCCCCTGCGTCTTCCTCGGTTTCCCCCTTGACGCGTCCGACTGGCACTTCTACCACCCGCCGTCTCACCGTTTCTTTCACTCTCGCGACTTCACCTTTGACGAGTCCGTCTCCTTCTTCCGCCGCTTTCCCCACCGTGGTCCCCCGGTTACTCCCCCCCTGTTCCTGGTTCCTCCCTCCCTGGTGGCCCCTGCCCCTCCCCCCCCCCGCCCCCCCGTCCGGCCCCCTCTGGTGTGTCTCACGTCACCCCCCTCCCGTCGGTCGTTCCGGTCGACGAGTCTTCTGACTCTGGTAGTCCTTTGGCGCAGTCCTCGCCGTCTGTCCCTCCCCCGGTGTCTCCTCCTCCACCGCCTCCGCAGCCGCCGTCGCCGCAGCTGCTGCAGCCGTCGTCTCCGCCGCCGCCGCCGTCGAGGCCGTCGCTGCAGCCGCCGCCGCCGCCGCCGCCGTCGTCGCTGCCGCTGTTTGTGGACTCTGGGGGTGCTGGAGTTGAGGTGGGTACTCGTCCCGGGGCTCCTGTCGTGGCTTGTCCCCGCGGGCCTGGGGGTGGTACCGGTGCTGGCGGTGTTTCGGGCTCTGGGGGTGTCCCTTCTGGGGGTGCCGGTGTGGAGGGTTCGGGAGGTAGCCGTCGCGCAGCTTGTGGCCCTGGCGTTGGTGTTGTGTCGCCGCAGCAGCAGTCCCCGCCGGTGTCCGCCCTCCGTCTGCTCGGCCTTCCGTCCCCTGACCCTGCGCCTGTTCCTCTCCGGCCGTCTCCCCCTCTTCCCGTCTACGGCCCCGTGTTCCCTCCGCCAGACTCGTCCCCGGCTCGTTTTCCCCCTCGTTCCCCACCCGTGTCCCCTCCTCTGTCTCCCGACCCGACGCCGCCCTCTCACGTCTGGTCTCGCCGCCCCTCCCGTGCTCGTCCTGTCTCCCCCGTCCCGCGCACTCACCCTATGTTGCTCCGCTCCCACGCGTCTCGTCCTCCCCTCCTCCCGTCTCCTCCTCCGTCCTCTCTTGTCGTTGCGTCTCCTCCTCTGTCTGACTACTTTCGTGCCGCTCGTCCTCTTGTTCCTCGGGTCCTTGCCTCTCTCGTTACCGACCCGTCTGTTCCAGTGTCGAGTCTTGACGCCCTTGTCGTTGCGGTCGCTGACTTCGCCTCTACCCGCCGCCTTGACTACGCCTCCGCTCTGGTCTCTGACCCTGCCTGTCCTCCGTCTGTCGGGGGTGCTCCTGCCCTCGGCAGTGACGTCCTGGAGGACCGCCAGTTTGAGCTTGCTTTCGTGTCCGAGGCTGCTCCCCATCTCTGTTCCATGCTGCTAGTCCCTGAGGGTGACCCAGACGCTTTTGACATCCCGACCCCTCGTACTTACGCTGAGGCGGTTTCGGGACCTTGGGCCTCTCAGTGGATAGCTGCCATGGAGCAGGAGATGGCATCTTGGAGATCCACCGGCACCTTCGTCGACGCAGTTCCCCCACCTGGGGTGAACGTGGTCAATGGCCGTTGGCTCTTCAAGGTGAAGCGCTCTCCTGGAGAGCCGCCTGTGTTCAAGGCGCGTTACGTGGCTAGAGGCTTCAGTCAGCGCGAGGGGGTGGACTTCTTTCAGACTTTCGCTCCTACCCCGAAGATGACTACTCTTCGGGTTCTGCTACACGTAGCGGCTCAGCGTGACTACGAGCTTCACTCCCTCGACTTCTCCACTGCCTTTCTTCAGGGCAGCCTTCACGAGCAGGTCTACCTGCGTCGTCCTCAGGGCTTTACTGGCACCTTCCCCCCTGGGACCCAGTGGCTTCTGCGGCGCCCAGTCTACGGCCTGCGCCAGGCGCCTCGTGAGTGGCACGACACGCTGCGTGCTACTCTTGCTGATCTGCAGTTCTTTCCGTCCTCTGCAGACCCCTCGCTCTTCGTTCGTGCTGGCTCGACTCCGTTCTACATCCTCGTCTACGTAGACGACCTGGTCTTTGCCACAGCTGACAGGGACGCACTGGCCTCCGTGAAGGCAGAGCTGCTGAAGAGACACACCTGCACTGACCTTGGAGAGCTGCGCCGTTACCTTGGCTTGCAGATCTCCAGGGACAGAGCCGCCCGCACCATCACCCTGACTCAGTCACACTTGGTGCGCCAGGTCCTTCAGAGGTTCGGCCTTCAGTTCTCCTCCGCACAGCCCACCCCTCTTCCTCTGGACCACAGACTCTCCGCTCCAGTTCCTGAGGAGTCGGTAGATCCCAGTGGTCCTTACGCTGAGCTAGTGGGTTGCCTCATGTACCTGATGACTTGCACTCGCCCAGATCTCGCATACCCTCTCAGCATCCTGGCTCGTTTTGTGGCCACAGGCAGACACCGACCTCAGCACTGGTCTGCCGCTAAGAGGGTTTTGCGTTATCTTGCAAGTACATCGGGCATGGGGTTAGTGCTAGGCGGACGCAGGCCAGTGGTCCTTACTGGACACACAGACGCTTCTTGGGCAGACGACGCCGAGACGCTCAGGTCTTCCCAGGGCTACTGCTTTAGCCTTGGCTCAGGTGCTGTCTCGTGGAGAGCTACCCGCTCCTCGTCGGTTGCCCAGTCCAGCTGTGAGGCTGAGATCTACGCCGGTGCCATGGCGGCACAGGAGCTCCGCTGGCTGACCTTCTTGCTCACTGACTTAGGTGAGCGGCCTAGCTCTGCCCCGGTCCTGTACGCTGACAATAGGGCCATGATTCTCCTGTGTCAGGAGCCTCGACTCGAGGGCAGAGCGAAGCACCTCCAGCTGCGGTACTTCCTCCTGCGCGAGCTACAGCAGCGGCGCCAGGCTCGCGTAGTACACTTGGCCTCCGGTGCCAACACAGCTGATATCTTTACGAAGGCGCTTGCGCCTAAAGATCATCAGCGGCACTGTTTACAGCTTGGTCTGGTTCCTGTAGTCTCTCACTTACTCGGGCCTTGACTTTGTACTGTCGTATATATATATATATATATATGTATACACTCAGACTGGACTTGTGTCCTCTCACAGTGGTTGGACTAGTAGTGCCGCCCTGTACTCGTTCTTGCCTTGTCTGTACTCCTTCTGACTGGTCTTTTAGACCCTTGTCTCAGAGGCTGGACTAGTAGTGCCACCCTGAGCTACTTGTCTAGAACATTCCCCTATGCAGTCCAGGGGGTGTGTCAAACATGTGTAGTTATCATGTTTGTATAGACTGTATAGGGTCACCTTCTAGAGAGTACAACATTTAGGTATATGTTTGTGTACTCTCTCTCTCACATTATTCAATTCTAGGTTTGATACACTTGGCCTCCGGTGCCTACGCACCTGATGTCTTTACTAAGGCGCTTCCGCATAGAGATCATCAGTGGCACTTCTTGCAGTTAGGTCTAGTCCCTGTTGACTCTCACTTGCTAGGCCCTTGATTGTGTACTCATTTCTATTTATCCATTCCAAACTGGCCTTGTGGCTTTTCCTCTAGTGGTTGGACTAGTAGTGCCACCCTGGTTTGCTTTGTCTTGCTTGTACTCTTGCTGACTGGTCTTCGGGCCCCTGCCTCAGAGGTTGGACTAGTAGTGCCACCCTGAGCTGGGTGTTTCTTGCTCAGCACTACCCCTTATCTAGCCTAGGGGGTGTGTCAACTTATACATATATTGCTATGTAGAAGTTATAGGCTAGATAGGGTATGTTCTTAGTGGGTACAACCCAAATGCTATATCATTCTTTCTAGCCTGAACAGCAACGCCCTGTTTGAGAAATACGTTAAGGCACGAACACTGCATCGTCACATGTGTCCTACCCACAGCAATATAGAGATCCCTTTCAAATTGACTTTTTTATGTTGGAAAAAAACAGATTTGATTCTCCAGTAATCTCCACACAAAATAATCGCATTCTTCAAGAACCATCACACAAGAACACCTTATATCCTGCAATACAACACAATCCCTTCCTTTCGAATTGCAGCCCAAGAACACCGCAACACAACAGCGGAGGGGCGCTTTCTTCTACTCTCCACCACAGCAGAACCCTGCCAGCCACTGGCAGACCTTTCAGGGAGGTCGCATCTGGTGCAGGTGTTTACTGGGGAGGGGCGGCCTCCCAACCACCGGGGGCGGCAGCGTCCCAGCCAGCCCCAGCCACGCCAGGCACGGGGGCAGCAGCGGCATCCCAGCCTGAACCCACGGCAGCAGGAGGGGCGCCGGCAGCAGGGGGAGCAGCGGCGTCCCAGCCACCAGCAGCAGCAGGCACAGTCCCTGCAACGTTGGGAAGTGAAAGTGGGGGGGGTGTGGGGGTAAGTGTGGACAGGCCAATGTCAAGAACACTCTGTGCATGTGCATTCACCACTTGAGAGATTTCTGTGGGTGTGGGGGGGTGGGGATGGGTTCGGGGGTGGGGGAGGGGGGTGCATGCAGCACAGCAACTCCGCTTTAGGATGAAAACCTATCCCAACTAGCCAACCCACCCATCCTCTCCCCAGCCACTCCCCAACCCCGAACCCCCCCCCCTCACCCCCCCAACCCCAACTTATCCCCAGTGCCAGCAGGGGCATCAGCAGACAAAAGGCCGCATCCCCCAACCCGCCGAACCACTCATACCCAATATCATCGCCCCTCATCCCAGCCCATTCCACTTACCCCAGCCCCTTTCCCTCATCCCAGCCTCCTCCACCGAACTCCACCACTCCAAACACCACCGTCAGTCATACCAGCGTAACCCACACCCCCTCCCCTTTCCCTTATCCTCCGGACAAACAGAGGCGGCCCCAACAGCAGCGTCCCGAGTCAGCCGCAGAGAGAGGAGAGGCTACATACCCACCCACCGAACCAGCCACACCACACCTCAAATATCCAATCTCCCTCCCCCCTTCTCTCCTCTCCTCTCCTCGCCTCTCCTCTCCTCGCCTCTCCTCTCCTCGCCTCTCCTCTCCTCGCCTCTCCTCTCCTCGCCTCTCCTCTCCTCGCCTCTCCTCTCCTCGCCTCTCCTCTCCTCTCCTCTCCTCGCCTCTCCTCTCCTCGCCTCTCCTCTCCTCGCCTCTCCTCGCCTCTCCTCTCCTCTCCTCGCCTCGCCTCGCCTCGCCTCTCCTCTCCTCGCCTCGCCTCGCCTCTCCTCGCCTCTCCTCGCCTCTCCTCTCCTCTCCTCGCCTCGCCGCCCACGTATTCTCTCACGCCACCTACCAGCAGGGGCGGCAGCAGCAGCGTCCCAGTCAGCCGTGGGGGCGGCGGCGTCCCATTGCCCCTCCGCTCCGATCTGAGGCACAGTCGCGAACTCCACCGCTCCGAACTCCGGAGCAGCGCCCTCCTCCGCCGTCTCCTCCTTGGTCTCCTCGGGGTCGCGGTAGAAGAACAGGTCGACCTGCACGTGGGAAGCGGTGGGAAGAGGTGGGAAGCGGGGGGAGAGCGGTGAGGGCAGGAATTCCTTGGTACCTCCGCCTTCCCCTCCTTGGTCTCTCGGGGTCGCAGTTAGACATGGGCATGAGCCGAGCCTGGCTCGGCTCGGCTCGTTTGGGGTCGAGCCAAGTCCTCAGGATCCCCGGCTCGGCTCGTGAAAATGGGGTCGAGCCAGGGCCGGCTCGCCGGCTCGCCGGCTCGCCTCGGCTCGTCAGGGGGGCTTGTGCGGGCTCTCAATTTGGGCCACGGGGTTTGGGGTCTCTAGTCCGGGGCGTGGTCCAGATTGTTGAGCTGATCGTCTGCTTCTACATCTTACAAAAATCTCAGGAGGCGCTGCAGGTGTAAATAGGGCTGGCTGAGGGCGAGAGACGAGGGCAGCAGGGTGAGGGCAGCAGGGTGAGGGCAGCAGGGTGAGGATACGGTTGGCAGACGAAATGGGCGCGGGAGGTTTGTCGATCTGAGATTTGACAATCGCGAAACCCCCCCTCTCCCGTGCCGCGAGCCGGCTGGCTCGGAATCGAGCCAGCTCGAGCCGGCTCGACTCCGGCTCGACTGATTTTACGTGCGCGAGCCGAGTCGAGCCGGGTACCAAAAAAGGAGGCTCGGCTTGTGCCCATGTCTAGTCGCAGTAGAAGAACAGGTCGACCTGCGGGTGTGACTGGAGGGAGGTGACAGTATGAGGGGGTGACTATGAGGGGGCGACAATATGAGGGGGCGACAATATGAAGGGTTGACAATATGAGGGGGTGACAATATTAAGGGGTGACAATATGAGGGGGTATAAGAAGCGGTGAGGAGAGGGCTAGGGGTGCTCCTTGTGCTGCTGCTCCTAAAGGAGCGCTCCATTGCAAGAGCAGCGGCACACTGCTGTTCCCAAGCCAGTCACGCCCCGCCCACTCCTACTACGACAGTTGCCGCCGCTGCCGCCGCTGCCGCTGCCGCTGCCGCTGCCACTACTGCCGCTGCCGCTACCGTTGCTGCTACTGCTGCTGCTCTTGCTACTGATGCTGCTGCTGCTGCCGCTGCTGCCGCTGCTGTTGCCGAGCCCGCTGACTCCCTAACGCATGGCTCCCCCGCCACATCGCTGCGCCAGCCAGCCGTCCCCATGGCTCCTCGGTGATTGCAGTCATGCTTTCGAAATTCCCAAAACTTTCTCTAACGCGCGTCGCTTCCCCTCGCTGCGTCTGCCACGTCGCTGCGTCTGCCACGTCGCTGCGTCTGCCATCTGCTCACGCGCATCTGCAGCCCCATGCACTCAAGGCAGCAGCATCAACTCGTGCTCACGGAAGTCGCGAATTCCTCTCACCCCCACCCACTGTCCGCCCTCCCCCCACCATTCCCCGCAACCCCCCACCATTCCCCGCAACCCCCCACGTGCCCCCATTGGGCGCAGGCGAGCGTACCATGACGTCCCACGGCTGGCTGGGGAGGATGGAGCCGCGCATCTGCAGCACCATGCGCGCCAGCAGCCAGTAGAGGCACCCGATGGAGTGCTTCGCGCGGTTGTTCGCGGGGATGCCCAGATCCACGTACCGCATCGGGCTGTCCGTGTCGCAGAACGCAATAGTGGGGATGTTACCCAGCGCCGCCTCGGCCGCGGGCTAGTGTGGAGGGGAAGAGGGGGGAAGGGGCGCGGGAGGGGGAACGGGGGGGGGAGGGGCGTGGGAGGGTAAGCAGGGATCCCAAGGTTCCGGGGTCCACGTAGCGCATCGGGCTGTCCGTGTCGCAGAGGGCGACCGTGGGAGCATTGCCAGTGCCGTCTCGGCCGCGGGGTAATGGGGGAGGGTAGGGCAATGGGCGGGGGAGTTATGGGGGAAGGGGCAGGGAGGAGGGTGGATAGGGGAAGCGGGTTGAAGGGGTGTGAGGGGAGAGGAGGGGCAAACTGGGGGGTAGAGGGGGGAGGGAAGGGGAAGGGAACGTGGGACGGAAGGAGAGGGCGGAGAAGAGGGAAGATGTGAGGGGAGGGTAGATGTGGTGGCGACGGGAGGAAGGGGAGGAGGTGAGGGGTGAGAAGGGACGGGAGTGAGTGGAAAGCGATGAATCACCCGGTCAGCGCGGTCAACGCAGTCAACACAGTCGACGTGGTCAGCGCGGTCGACGGGGCGTACCTGGTGGTCAACGCGCGGGTCGGTGAGGATGAGCAGGCGCGGCTCGGAGAAGTTGTTCTGCAGCTGGTTGGTGAAGGTGCCGGGCGTGTGGCGGCCGGCGATGGCGTTGGCACCCGTGTACTGCGCGAACTTGAGCACGGCGCGCTGCCCGTACGGGCGCGCGGACTGCACGCACATGTCCTGCGGGTTCTCGATCGCCACGATCACGCGCGCCGCCATCTGCAGCTTCTCCCACGTCTTGGCCAGGTTGATGATGAACACACCTGATTGGTCAGGACGGGGAGTAGGGCACGGGGAGTAGGGCACGGGGAGTAGGGCACGGGGAGTAGGGCACGGGGAGTAGGGCACGGGGAGTAGGGCACGGGGAGTAGGGCACGGGGAGTAGGGCACGGGGAGTAGGGCACGGGGAGTAGGGCACGGGGAGTAGGGCACGGGGAGTAGGGCACGGGGAGTAGGGCACGGGGAGTAGGGCACGGGGAGTAGGGCACGGGGAGTAGGGCACGGGGAGTAGGGCACGGGGAGTAGGGCACGGGGAGTAGGGCACGGGGAGTAGGGCACGGGGGAGTAGGGCACGGGGAGTAGGGCACGGGGAGTAGGGCACGGGGAGTAGGGCACGGGGAGTAGGGCACGGGGAGTAGGGCACGGGGAGTAGGGCACGGGGAGTAGGGCACGGGGAGTAGGGCACGGGGAGTAGGGCACGGGGAGTAGGGCACGGGGAGTAGGGCACGGGGGGGGGGGAGTAGGGCACGGGGAGTAGGGCACGGGGAGTAGGGCACGGGGAGTAGGGCACGGGGAGTAGGGCACGGGGAGTAGGGCACGGGGAGTAGGGCACGGGGAGTAGGGCACGGGGAGTAGGGCACGGGGAGTAGGGCACGGGGAGTAGGGCACGGGGAGTAGGGCACGGGGAGTAGGGCACGGGGAGTAGGGCACGGGGAGTAGGGCACGGGGAGTAGGGCACGGGGAGTAGGGCACGGGGAGTAGGGCACGGGGAGTAGGGCACGGGGAGTAGGGCACGGGGAGTAGGGCACGGGGAGTAGGGCACGGGGAGTAGGGCACGGGGAGTAGGGCACGGGGAGTAGGGCACGGGGAGTAGGGCACGGGGAGTAAGGCACGGGGAGTAGGGCACGGGGAATAGGGCACGGGGAGTAGGGCACGGGGAGTAGGGCACGGGGAGTAGGGCGCGGGGAATAGGGCACGGGGAGTAGGGCACGGGGAGTAGGGCACGGGGAGTAGGGCACGGGGAGTAGGGCACGGGGAGTAGGGCACGGGGAGTAGGGCACGGGGAGTAGGGCACGGGGAGTAGGGCACGGGGAGTAGGGCACGGGGAGTAGGGCACGGGGAGTAAGGCACGGGGAGTAGGGCACGGGGAATAGGGCACGGGGAGTAGGGCACGGGGAATAGGGCACGGGGAGTAGGGCACGGGGAATAGGGCACGGGGAGTAGGGCACGGGGAATAGGGCACGGGGAGTAGGGCACGGGGAGTAGGGGATAGGTAAGAGCAAGGGCGTTTGGAAGTGAGGAGTGAGAAGCAGACGAGATAGAAATGGGGCCCACGTGCCGCTGCCACCATCTGCCCCCACGACAAGGCAAGATCGATGATGAGCACGCCAGGGAACGGGGCACCAATCTGGGAGCAGGAGAAGCTGGGAGCGCGCGGATGGGAACCACGTGGCGCCGTCTGCAGCTTCTGGGAAATGAAGTCTGCGCGGGTGCCGGCGAAGCTTGCTCTCGAAGGAGAGCTGCGTGCACCATCGGCACCCAGACTCCCGCCCCGAGATGCCCTGATTCCCCTCCCTAGCCTATGACTCGACCAACCCAGGAATCCGCAGCCACAGCCAAAGCCACAGCCACAGCCAAAGCCACAGCCAAAGCCAAAGCCAAAGCCAAAGCCAAAGCCAAAGCCAAAGCCAAAGCCCATCCGCGAAGCCAAGCCAAGCCAGCCAGTCTTGAGCCAAATCACTCTCTAAGCTGTCACGCCATCCGCGAATGACGCCCGTCTCCGATAGCCAAGCCACTGCTTTCCAACCTCCCAAGAGGTTGAGGTTGAGGTTGGCTGGCTTTGCTTTGGAGGTTGAGGTTGACTTCCTAGCTGAAAGCTCTTCAACATCAACCTCCCAAGTCTGCCCTTCACCCTCCAGTCACTGCTGCTCTCTTAACACCACGAGCTCGACCAGTAACCTCTTGCGACGACCTCTAGCGACGCCCTCTTGCGACGATGCCTTGCGGCGATCTCTTGCGACGATCTTTCACGAAGACCTCTTGCGACGATCTTTTGCGAAGACCTCTTGCGACGACCTCCCTCTTGCGACGATCCCTTGCGACAGCCGCAGAGGTCGTGGCTTATTCTACCGCAGCAAGCTTCCACCGTGAACTCGTGCATTCCGAAACGACGCGTGCCCCCTCATTCAGGCACACCCCCCCGACCTTCCACCCGCACGCAGAGCGCGAGTAGGTTTAGCAAAGCTGCCATCTAGACTCCGCCCCGCCACCCATTTACCGCCCCCGCACCTGTATCCTTCCTGTTACCAACCTCTTTCCTTCCTCTCCCCCACCTTTCCTTCCTCTCTCCCATCCCTATACCTCTCGCCCGTCGGTCCAAACTGCCGTCTAATCTTTACGATCAGGCCAACGGTCACGATTGTCGGAGATCGTTGTTCAACCCTAGAGATGGCGACACCGACAGGGTCTTCGAGAAGAATTCGTTAAGGACCGCAACAGCATCCGCACTGCGCGCCGAACCAGCCCCCTTTCTGTTCCACGAGCCTCGAACCCTCGTTCCCACTCCAAACCCTAACGCACGATTCCGATCAGTTATGCCGCGATCAAGAACCACGTCGTCGCATTGATACGACGGCAAAACGCCCCTAGCCGCCAGACGCCGAAACGACACGTCGGTACGCCTTAAGATAAGCGCGGACGTAGCGCTCCATCTGGTAGTTGCAGTTCTTGGTGCCGAGTTGCACCTTCGCCGCCAGCATCATCTGAATGCCCGAATCCTGTCCCTCGCGCTGACGCCGAACCCTAAAGCACGATCACGGACCGTACCGACGCACACTGACCGCGCAATGACGCGACGACACAACGGCGAAAACCCACCGCATCCTCATCTCGACGACACGCCGCTAAAGATTCGAGAACTAAAGGGCGGACGTACCGTCCGCGCCGCGCTTCCAGACGTAGCGCTCCATCTGGTAGTTGCAGTTCTTGGTGCCGAGATGCACCTTCGCCGCCAGCATCATCTGAATGTCCGCCTCCCTCTGTGACAGCGCCATGGCTGCACGCTTCGCGCACGCGCACTACGGCTAGGGAAAAAGGGGTAAGGGGGGAGGGGTGCGAGATCTCCTTAGCAGGAAGAGAGGAAACTTTAGGAGGGAATGCAAGCTAAGAGGTAGCACAGTGGGAGGGAGGGAGGGGAGAGGGAGGAAGGGGGAGCTCTAAACGACGGGCGGCGGCGGAGAGGAAGGGGTGCGGAGGGGGGTGGGGGAATGGGGGAATGGGGGGAGAAACAGGGGGCAAATAGGTGGCACTGGTGTGGGCTGTGCCGCGGATGGCCTGCAGGGAAGGGGACATGATATCCGGGCTTCGCTAATCTGCCTGCTTGGGTTCAGTGCGTTATATTCTCTCGAAAAGTGCTGCACTTGTACTGGAGGCCCACAACAATTTGACCTACGAGATCTGTTATTGAATATTTTCAAGTTATTCTTTATAGAATCACCGTTTCGAATGCCTTGTATGTATGTAATCAACGGTTTGGTAAAATCCCACATAGTAACAGCTAGTGATAGTTGTTTCAAATGGGCAAAGACATGGAATTGGGCTCTCTTATGTGATGGAAAATCACATCATTGTAAACTATAACGCATAGAACACGCTACGTTATATTAAAGCCCCTGGCTAAAAACAAAAAGCAGGGGCTCACTTGAATTTTTATATATATTTTTATGGCATTAAAAATTTCCTGCTTTTGGCTGTGAACAAAATATGAACACAATGAAAACCTGAATTGAGAAGGAATGAGGTCAACCATTGGCGTGTGGCACAGGCACTATGTCGGCGACGCCCAAAGTTGCCGCACGACTCAACCTCCCTCATCGTCGAGCCTAGCCCAACAACCACGCTGGCGACCAGCCCCTCCCTGGGCATTTTCAAGATGACCCCTACTTAGCTTTTGGTCCGGCGTACTCCTAGTCGTTTTCCTTGAACGTACCGTTTTAGGCGGCATATTAACGCGATAGGAGCCGTAACTAACGCCTCCGGGCGACATTCCGACAAGGAATGCGGGTTAGATTCTCGGCACGGCGCCTTCGTCAAACAAGCGTGCGATACAAGGGCCGCGACAAGAAGAAAAATCGAATATTCGCCCTCAAATTGGATGCGATGCCCACCCTTCCGTCGCGTTACGCTCCCCTCCCCGATCTCTCATCGCGCTCTCGTCCCTCCCCCCTCCACTGTCGCAAAACGTTACCCTCCCCATTTCCCGTCGCGGTACTTCCCAAGATTCTCTATCGGCACTTTACAGGCTCCCGTTCTCATCCCATTCTAAGCCGCTTCCCTCTCTTCCCCGCTTCCCGCCGCTTGCGGCCCCTTGCCTCCCGCATGCCGCTTTCCCCCGCTTCCTGCCTCCCGCACTCCCTCCGATGTGCGTCCCGCTATCCCACGCTAAGCCGCCTCCCTCTCTCCCTCACCGCCTGCCGCTCGCTTTCCTTAGCTCCCCCGCTTCCCGCCTCCAGCGTTCCCTCCTTTCTGCATCCCACTTTCCGTCGCTCAGCCGCTTCCGTCCCTCCCCCATTTCCCTCAGCTCGATATCCCTTGCTTCCCGCATGTCGCACTCCCACGCTTCCCGCCTCCCGCATTCCCTCCTTCCCCCATCCCGCTTTTGGCTTGTAGCTCGCTGGTCCGCTCCACGTCACGTACCACTTCCCGCTTTCTCACGCTGTCAAGCGTGGCCCGCTTCTTCTCGCGCCGCTTTCTCTCGCCTCGTGAGTAACGATAGCCGGGAAGGATTGGAGGCAACGCAGCAGGGAAGAGTGCGAGGCCCACCGTGGGAGGGGGCAACGAGGGAGAGTAGACAGGGGGACAGGGATCGGAGGGAGAAGGGAGAGAGGGATAGGTATGGGAGAGAGAAGGGAGCAAGGGGGTGGTATGGGAAAGTGAAGGGAGAGAGGGTCATGGGCGGGGGAGGGAGAATGGAGAGAGGGATAGGGATGGGAGGGAGAGTAGGAACGGGATGGGAGAGAGAATGTAGAGAGAGGGGAAAGGGCTGGGAGGTAGAAGAGAGAGGGGGATAAGGATGGGAGGAAGATGGGAGAGAGGGATAGGGATGCGAGGGAGAAGGCAGAGGGGGGTATGACTGAGTGGTAGAAACGAGAGAGGGTGATTGGGCTGGGAGGGAGACGGAGGGAGAGAGGGGGGTATGGATGGGGGGGAAGGGAGTGAGGGATTGTCTTTAGGAAGGCGGGAGAAGGCAGAGGGGGATAGGGCTGAGTGGAAGGATGGAGAGAGGGGGATGGGGCTGGGAGCGAGATGGCAGAGAGGGGGAAAGGGATGGGGAGGGAGATGGCAGAGTGGGGGAAAGGGATGGGGAGAGAGATGGCAGAGTGGGGGAAAGGGATGGGGAGAGAGATGGCAGAGTGGGGGAAAGGGATGGGGAGAGAGATGGCAGAGTGGGGGAAAGGGATGGGGAGAGAGATGGCAGAGTGGGAGAAATGGATGGGGAGAGAGATGGCAGAGTGGGGGAAAGGGATGGGGAGAGAGATGGCAGAGTGGAGGAAAGGGATGGGGAGAGAGATGGCAGAGTGGAGGAAAGGGATGGGGAGAGAGATGGCAGAGAGAGGGATATGGCTGGGAGAGGGGGTTGGTAGGAAGAGGGATAGGGCTGGGGAGGGAGAAGGGAGCGAGGGGGAGGTCAGACTGGCATTTCACCTGTGCCTCCCTATCTACCATGCCTCCCCATCAACCCTGCCTCCCATTGCCCCCTGCCTCCCACTCTTCTGCCCCTCCTGTTCTTCCCTGCCTCCCGTTCTTCCCTGCCTCCCATTCTTCCCTGCCGCTCTTTCCTCCTTGCCATCCGTTCCTCCCTGCCACCCATTCTTCCCTGCCACCCATTCTTCCCTGCCGCCCGTTCTTCCCTGCCTCCCCTTCTTCCCTGCCTTCCCTTCTTCCATGCCGACCATTCTTCCCTGCCGCCCGTTCTTCCCTACCTCCTGTTCTTCCCTGCCACCCGTTCTTCCCTGCCGCCCGTTCTTCCCTGCCGCCCGTTCTTCCCTGCTGCCGTTCTTCCCTGCCTCTCGTTCTTCCCTGACTCCCGTTCTTCCATGCTTCCTGATTTTCCCTGCCTCCCATCCCGGTCTTCCCTGTCTCCCTTTCCAATCCCTTTATGTGCGTGCATGCCCTCCGCCTCCCTTCTTCAAGTGCAGCCCACCACATGCCCACGGTCGTCTTTGTCCCTCTATTGGGTTGGGGGAAATGGTTTACTGGGCCAGTTGTTGGCTACAGTGGCTAAACCCAAGAGCATGCACTCTTGCGTGGTTGTATATACAGTGACGGAAAAAACTGTCCGGATGTTTGATACTAATTAGGGTTTTTAGGCTATCTGATCACGGTACATAAAGTCGTAATGTTTAATGGTGGTACACTTTGGGAGGGGCACATAGTGGATGTGTTCACAGCACTTAATTCCATAGTAGTACACTGGATCTAACTTAATGCCAAAAGTTATACAAGGGGGTCATGCGGACAGTTTTTTCCCGGGACAAGGCGCAAACTTCCGAACAGGTTTCTAGTACCTAGTACACCGACTCTTGGCCTTGATCACCACCCGCACCCTCCTAGGCATGTTATCTACGAGGTTAGTGCAAACCATTGCAGAGATCTTCTCGCACTCTTCTTGGATGCTCCCTTTTGCATAAGGGGGTGAGCACTAGGAAAATTTGAAGGATTTGAGCGTCTGCAAGAGTTTTGTGCACGATTTCTGTTTGAATGTTACGTATGAGGCTAGCCACACTGAGGTATGACCAAAGATGCCATTAGCCGATTGGTTCCATCTTATCATAGGTCATCTTCATCGTACCGCTGTAGGGTAAAACCACGAACAGAGGAACGAAAACTAGTGTAGATGGCGCGAAACTGAGGGCAACGTAGCATGGTGGATTGTTGATCCTTGCACTATTAGAATCATGCTAGGATCCGCAGCTCTCGTTTTGATGTAGCAGTCAAAGAAGTCGCGACTGCCCGGGGAGAATATCTGGGTTGAGGTCTGGTGAAAAAAGGGTCACTCTAGTGCTAGAAACTCATGCTCTCCAATGCTATTCCAAGCCTAGGCGGTACAAATGGCATGGAGAGCATTGGGGAGCATGAGTATGTTGCACTGGAGTGACCCTTTTCTTCACCAGACCTCAACCCCGATATTCTTCCCGAACAGTCGCGACTTCTTTGACTGCTGCACCGTGGCAAGACATGCAGATCCTAGCGTGGTTCTAATAGTGCAAGGATGAATAGTCGACCGTGCTACGTTACCCTCAGTTTCACGGCATATGCACGATTTTTCGCCGCTCTGTTCGTGGTTTTACCCTACACCGATACGACAAAGACAACCCATGATAAGATAGAATCAATCGGCTAATGGCATCTTTGGTCATACCTCAGTGTGGCTAGCCTCATACGTAACACTCAAATAGAAATCGTGCACAAAACTCTTGCAGACGCTCAAATCCTTCGCGATTTTCCAAGAGCTCACCCCCTTATGCAAAAGGGTGGGTCCAAGAAGAGTGCGAGAAGATCTCTGCGACGGTTTGCACTAGCCATGTAAATAACATGCCTAGGAGGTTGCGGGTGGTGATCAAGGCCAAGGGTCGGTGTACTAGGTACTAGAAACCTGTTTGGAAGTTTGCTCTTTGTCCCGGGAAAAAAGTGTCCGGATGACCCCCTTGTATAACTTTTGGCACTAAGTTAGATCCAGTGTACTACTATGGATTTTAGCGTACTGAACACATCCACTATGTGCCCCTCCCAAAGCGTACCATCATTAGACATTAAGACTTTATATACCCTGGTCGAAAAGCCTAAAAACCCTAATTAGTGTCAAACATCCGGACAGTTTTTTCCGTCACTGTACATTGTGTTGTAATATATATATATATATAAAGTTAGGATTTGACGTAAGGGTCCTACATTGAAGTGTCCCACGAAAGGCTATTCTGGAAAAGAAAAAACCATTCTTTGATTTCCCACTACATTATAAATATGCAATGTCAAGTCACATGTACACCATTTTCCCCCCAGTCCAACGGTATTGCGTCAGGGGGTGTTTCGAAGCCTGGAGTCCGATTTTGAGCCACTAATCTCGCATCATAGTAAGGTACAGTTTAGGTGCATCCTCGTGTGACCTCTCGGCGAAACCATGCATTTCACAAGAGCTCTGAACACGCCAGGGCTCCACGTCGCCTGTGGTTTCACGGATGGATCACTAGAGTTTGTCGCAATCGATTTCGCTCACATTTTCCATGTTTTCCGACGTTTCACTCAACCATGCTGCCTCTAAATTGCATTTCCGCTCACTTCATGCGTTTCAAAATATTACAAGGCTGCCCCTACTTCAAGGGGGGCGCTCTTGAAACCCTCCTTTGTAATTTTAGACTCGGGCTTTAAGGGGCGAATATATTGAGTTGAGTTGAACAGGTTTTTTTCTCAGCTTCGGGTGCACATATTTTACGGTACATGTCGAATACGTGTGTAAGGAATTGTTAAACTCTATATTTGATATATATAATGGTAGGCTTGGTAGGTGTTACTGGATCCTACTGTAGAGGATACAACCCTCTTCTTGTATCCCTCTCTCTACTATTCCAAACACTCTTTTCTCTCTCTTCTCTCTCGATATTTCTCCTAGCACCTAAAACCTCACGCTACGCTCCTATGCCTAGATCCTAATCTACAATTTTGCTATTCTAACAGGTTTTTCCATTCCTTACTAAGCCGTACGTTAGCGCGTACACCTGAACTTCTCGACTCATCACGTTCGGCCTCATTTGTCGGCCCAACCCTTTCCCGCGTCACGTCCGGCACTGTCGCCACACTGCCGAACGTACCCACGTTCCGAGGTTATCGCCCTAGCACTCCAATCCCTATATAACATCGTGCATTCATTGCAATAGCGACCTTGTATTCTCACGTTATATTTCATTGACATTTCCTATATCATAACAGCTGGTATCAGAGCCCGACCTTTCCTGGAACCTTCCGTTTTCCCATCTTGTTAGTTAAGGTGGTCAGAGGGGATTTGCACGGCTGCACAATAGTTGTCTTCGATCGTAAATATTTTTACGTCAACAACTACAGCGTGTGCGCCAGATGCTGCCCCGTCTTGACGTCCATGGCCACGGTAGACTCGACGGTTGAGGAACAGTCCACCTCGACTGCTGCGAACCCTGCCCGGGAAACTGTGGACCTGCAAGCATTAATGGAGCAGTTGAAGAATTTGACAAGCATCGTCAACGACCTCCGCGACGAGAACCAGCGACTTCGCCAGGCGTAGGAGAAGCGTCCTGAGGAGCAGACGACGATGCATGAAGCGAGGCGGGTGAGCAGCAACCGTCGCCAGTGGAGCTGGCACGACCAGCGGCAACAGCCCCGCGCTCGACAAGTGGAGGCATAAGATATCAGCAACCCGCTCTTTTCGACCCAGCTAATAAAGGCGTGACAGTGCGGCAGAGGATATTTGCCATGAATATCTATTTTAACACGGCAGGCATCAGAGACGATCAGAAGTGGCTCAGCCAAGCGTTAACACTGTTGCAAGGGGCCGCCCTACAGTGGTGGAAGGTCATCATACAGAAGGACAGCACGAGTGGTCCGAAGAATTCGGCGACAAAGACGAGGCATACCCGTTGTTCGGAGCGACCCATATTCGCACTTGGGCAACGTGGTGCGCAGAGCTTCACAAGCGGTTTGAGCATGCTCCTGACTCAGACAAGGCACGCGAAAATCTACGCATGTGGAAGCAGCTGGGATCTGTGTTCGAGTACACCGCGTCGTTCCTGATGTTGGTGGACAGATGTGGCTACATGCACTTGTTGGAGAAGGTCGATAGGTACATGGGCGGCTTGAAGCCTGAAATACAGTACCAGATAAAACTGCAACGCCCCTGCGAAGCGGTTACAAGACTACATCCAGCTCGCCAAAGCCACAGATTCGATCACAAAACCGAGGTCGAACTTCTACGACGGAGGTCGCCCTTGAGAACAGTACCAGCGCGCCACGATAAAAGGGCTGGACGCAGTGGATATTTACGCAATTGCTCCACGAAATACGGGGCTATGCTACCATTGTGGCTGGCCGGGTCACATCCGACGCAATTGCCAAGAATTCATAGCCCTCCAGAATTCTATGGGGAAGAATCATGAGGAACGATCGGGAAATGGGTCGCGTCAGTAAGTACCGGGCCCCTTACTGACGAGCAGGCTTCTTCGCCCGAACCACACAGTCCCCACCGGGTCGTGATCCTGATTGCTGCAATCGACCGGACCTGGACGAATAAGGGGGACGAAACTGCTGATCTCTCTGTGTTGGTGGAGGGTAAGTCAACGGGGTGTTATTGAAGATCTTCGTTGATGGAGGCGCGAGTCACAGTCTCATACAACCGGACAGGGCTAAAAAATTGGGCATATCCTTACTCAAGTGTTTACCTGAAATCAACACCCGACTGGTGGACAGAACACTGCTGGCAATACGGGAACGTGTGGAGAACGTTGGTTTTACCTATGGGGAGCATGTGAAATTTCGGATGGGATAACTGGCGACTACTCTCGACGGGTGCGATGTGCTGCTGGGACGTGATTGGTTACGACAGTACAACCCGAAGGTCGTCTGGACGATGGGCGGCTGCAGCATCAAGCTCGATGGGATCTCCCGCGAGCTGCCAAAGTGGACGGGGCCTCGCATGCGAAGCACCCAAGTCCATGCGATCACCTTCAAGCGCGCAATGAAGGCTAGAGCTGCAACGTACGCTGTTCATCTTTGTGAGGTGACATCGACGGTTGAGAACGAAGATATCGAGAAGCTGTGCACGGCCGTCCCTCCGAACTTAGCGGACTTGATTCGGAAATGCTCTGAGATTTTCCCGGACGATCTGCTAGCTGGACTCCCGCCGAGCCGACCTGAGGACCACCGAATCGAGTTGGAACCAGGTGCCCAACCAACGGTACAGCGCCAATTTTGGCTCAGCCAACCAGAACTGGAAGAATTACAGCAGCAGCTGGATTACCTTTTCACGAAAGGTTTTATCCGGCCCAGCACGTCCCCATACGCCGCCCTGATATTGTTCACACCGAAGAATGATGAAGGATTCATAATGTGTATTGACTACTGAGCGCTCAACCGGGTCACCATCAAGTCGCGTTACCCGATCCCGCGAGCCGACGAACTTCTCGACCAACTTCGCGGCGCCAAGTTTTTCTCGATAATTGACTTGCGAGAAGGTTGCCATCAGATTCGCATCGCCGCCGAAGATTGTCACAAGACGGCATTTCGAACCCGATACGGCAATTGTGAGCACCTAGCGATGCCTTTTGGCCTCACGAACGCGCCCTCGACCTTCCAAATGACCATGAATGGAATTTTCAGGGAACTCTTGGACAAATGCGCCATCATCTACCTCGACGATATATTGATCTAGAGCCGCAGCAGTCTACACGCTGCTGCACAAGAGTTGACTCATCACCAAAGGGTCTAAGTGCGACTTTCTTAAAGCCGTTGACCCAAATTGCATAAATTGTGTTTCAATATTATTAACCTTGAACACCCCCGAGCGGTAACCTAGTACCCCAAAGCGAGAATTGCAATTGAATTCGCAGCCCAAAACGACGGGGTTCAGAAGAAGCGCGCGCGCTACCCTCGACACTCCTGGCAATTGAGCAGCATGAAACTAGAAAGCACGTGCATACAATTTGGGACTACGGGTCAAACCTCGAACAGAGCAAGCTCCAAGATTATTGGAATTTGCTCTGTTCAAGAGGGGATGTGCGACGCAGGCGTTTTCGCACTTAGTGAGTTGCGGCGCTGTATGTAGTGCACTGTACATGGTCGGTGCCCCTGTCGTATGCGGCGACGGGAAGTCGCAGGCATTCTTGTACATATTTGTGCGACGCTATATGGGTGGGTTGCAAACCCCATAACGGAAACCACTCAAAACATCAGAAACAAGAAACACGAGTTACTTGCGAAAGTATGTTCAGCTGTAATCGCTAGAGTCGCGAAGCACATTGAAATGTCAAAATTGGTGCGGGGAATGCAAAAACATTGACTTGACCTAATGAGTATTTCTAAAACGAAGCCTCATAGGACCTCGCGTCTGAATCATGGGGTTACACACACTGCACAGAATTTCAGTTTGAACTCGATGCGGTGCCGATACGTTTGTCACGATTCTGACGCAAGGTCGAGTCCGACGCGAGCTGTGGAATAGGCTGCACGTTACATCGCCCCTCTGAGCAATGCTTTGTCAAATTTCAGGTTAGGGGGGGGTGCAGATTCGCGTGTGGTTCCAGCTTCGGCTCCGAGCCTTTCTGGTTTGGAAACAACAAATAGAATAAGCTGTCTTCCTTCGATTGGTTCGTGGTTTAGTCGGCGTCAATATGTGGATCGATTTCGCATCAATGGCTCGGGAAGGGGGGCATGAGTGTGTTGTAGGGATCGTCGACAAATGAGATGCGGTCTTGACCATATTGTATATGCTTATACGATTGGTGGAACACCTTACATTCTGCGTACTTGGGAGTTGTTCTTATCGAATAGTTGCCCGGTGCTAATGTTTGCCTTAGGGGTCGTTGCACTAGTCGCGGCTGACCTGTATCGGAGAGCAAAAACCCAGCCCACAGTCGAGCCCTACGGGGCGTGTTCAACACAATTATGTAGTTGCGTTGCAGTAGTGACCTACTACGGAAAAACGACACCGACAATTTTGTGGCAAATGATAAAACCGACAAAACCAGGAAACAAGGATTGGAACGGAGCAATAAATCACGCCCCTGACAAAGAAACCCCTTCGCACGCGCCACATATGTCAAACATAACGAGCTAGGAAGAGGAGCCATGGAATGGCGTGAGGTTTAGTGTGAGAGTACGACCCCGTTACACCACTTGTCCTATTCTTATCTCCTTCCTATTTCATTCTTCTTTTTATCTCATCTCATTTGGTTTCCTATTCTCCATTCTTCCATTATCCTTTGGTTGATCCTGCTATTATAATTATATCACCGACCAAGCTTGGGATGTACTGGCACATTATCCAGCGTAATCCTGCCGTAATCCCTTAAAGCCAATGGCCTCGCGTGGCTATACGCAGGGTGATTCTATATTCTAGAAGGGTCTATTCCTTTGGATAGGATATACCTGGTTACCTGATGTACTCTGGAAGTATAAAAGCACCTTGTACTGATCGATAGTGCAATCGATCCTCGAGTCATTCGATCCTGTGACATTTGGTAATCATAGCTTTTCTCACTCGGCCGCGCTCAACAAAACAGCAGCAGCGGGAAAACCTGCCTCGAAAAACCGCCAAGGGCGACGAATTCGACGCCGATTCTAGTAAGCACCAGCTCCGCATTTTGTGAATTCCCCCTCCCGCGCATGTTTTGAACAGGATGGCAACCTTCGACAACGCCGAGGTTACCCAGCAACTCTTCGCGCGCATCGCCGCTCTTCAGGAGGAGCTGCGAGCGGATCGCGAAGCGTGGCGAAACGAGTTCGAGCGAGTAACTCGACTCGCCGGAGCGCAGCACGACTCGACAACGGCGACGACGCAGCAGTCGCAGCAGTTTCTCGAGGCTCCGAAACCGCGCCCACCTGAGCCGTTCGATCCGAGCGATCGAAACTCCGACGCCCGCAGATGGATCGCCGGGATGGAGATCTACTTCGCAGCCGTCGGATGGAGCTCGCCAGTCTGGGACGGTCAACGCGTACGACTCGCGGCGACACTGATGCGAGGGCCGGCACTCGAGTGGATTGGCGGCAACAGCACCTTCATCCACGGTGAAGCCACGTGGCAGCAGTTCCGCGCCGACCTGCTCAAACGATTCGAGTTGATAAATTCAGGTTTCCTTGCCCGCGAAAAAATTCATCGCCATCGACAGTTCGGGAGTGTAGCACAGTACACGCAGCAGATGGAAGAATTTTATAACCGAATTCCCGACCTGACCGAAGGGGAAAAAGTGCAATCGTACCTCGCAGGACTGAAGACCGAAGTCAAACGACAGGTGGCAGCGTCAAACTACGCGAGCTACAGTGACGTCGTTTCGGCCGCGGAGCGCTTCGACATGGTCAACGCCGGAACACGACGGACGCACCTCGGCAGTACGCGACAAGGCGACCGCTCGGCTCACACCACGTTCGCCGACCCGATGGAGATCGACAGATTCGACGGGCGGCCACGTCCGAAAAACACCAACTACACGTGTGATTTTTGCGGGGTGCCGGGCCACCGAATCTTCGACTGCAACAAAATGAAGGCCGCACGCGCAGAGTATCGGGCACGCAACAGTGGCGGAAATCTTTCGGCCTATCAGAAGACAAAAAACGGGAGTCGCCAGTGATTGCGGATCTAGCTGGCGAAAAAGAAAAGATCCGGAAACGGCCGCGGGATTCCGGGAAAATCTACTACGACGAAGCTGATTCGACGCGAGCAGGAGGAAATGATGGGGGAAAATCTCCACCCCACGACCAGTCTTCGCCAGAGGAAATCGCCGAGGAAAAATCAGACTCCGCGAAAAAAGACTCTGCCGAAACGGGGAAACTCCTTGAAGACCCAAGAAATTATAAGAATTTGTTAAAGCTATCATATAAAGATGCTTTAATGAAAACTTATGATTTTCGAGGGGCTAGAGCCTTGGAGAAAATACGGGAGAGACTCCAAAAGAAGCAGAAAGCTGTGGAGATCATACCGGTACCGGACAACATGGGGAAAAAATTAAGGAGTGTGGAAAGAAGCCGACCTTTCCACGGAGTCAACGTCCTCTCCCGACACCAGCCCACATCGACTACCCGTTCCCCAGGGAAGACGTCAGTGGAGCTGAAGCAGCTTAAAAGGAAGCTGGGGGTCTACAAGAAGCTGCAAAAACCCCGAAATCCTTCTCCGGATGCATCCAGTTCTTCGGCATCAATGACGCGGACAGTCGTCAAAGAAACTCCGGGCCCTGGAGAAGAGCCGTTCTCCAAGCAGCCTCGGCCAGCTGCTAGCTCAGGAGCAGATAGCAACAAAAAGGTGTGTATGGATTATTGGGATGTACCCTATGACCCCACTAATGAAACTATCTTTGGGTACTCCGAGCAACGCCCGCCTCTCGTGCTCGAGGTCATCTGCAAAGGACGACGCCTCCAAGCACTCGTGGACAGCGGAGCATCTCACACCGTCTGCGACAAGGCACCAATCGACCGACTTCGGGAAGAGTACAAGCCTTCAGGATTCTCTGCAACGATGGTGGATGGCAGCAAGCTACCAGTACACGGCGAAGCAGTGTTACACCTACAAATTGGACCACTACGCTGGAGACCTGCACTCCCCATCACCAACATCAAAGGGCTTGACCTGATTTTCGGGCGAGACTTCCTGAAAAGATTCAACCCCGAAATCAACTGGGTGAACCGCACTGCAAGCATCTACAACAATGGAAGGAGAGTTCAGCAACCAAACTGGGACGATACAGTAGATATCCCAGTGGAGACACTCGCACGATTCGAGAAGGACGTGAAGCAAACCGACACCGGGTTCCTGGCGTTAGCAACAGAGGTGGAAACCGACGGAGAAAAGACCTCGGAACCTCCAGGAGAAATCAAGAAATTGCTGAAGGAATTCCGAGACATTCTTCCTGATGATCTACCGAACGAGCTACCGCCATACCGCACGCATTAACACGAGATCATAGAGGAACCAGGTTCGAAGCCGACCTTCCGAGCACCATATCGACTCAGCCCTACGGAGCTGACCGACATGAAGAAGCAGATCGAGTATCTCCTAGCCAAAGGACTCATCCGACCATCCACTTCACCATACGGTGCCCCAGTACTCTTCACCCCGAAACCGGACGGAAGCCTGCGCATGTGCATCGATTACCGAGCTCTTAACAAGCAGACCATCAAGAACAAGTATCCGATACCACGAATCGATGACCTGCTTGACCAGCTTCGAGGAGCTACGGTATTTTCCAAACTGGATCTACGGTCCGGATACTGGCAGATACGGATGGCGGACAACTCTATCTACAAAACTGCTTTCCGAACTCGGTATGGATCGTACGAGTATTTGGTCATGCCGTTCGGACTCACTAACGCACCAGCGACGTTCCAAGCAGAAATGAACCACATCCTACGCCCACTCTTGGACGAATGCGTGGTGGTGTACCTGAACGACATCCTCATCTACTCGCGCGACATGAAGCAGCACGTCGAACACCTGCGACGCGCCTTCAAGATTCTTCGACGGGAACGGTTCTACGTCAAACTGTCCAAGAGCGAATTCGCCCTGGAGAAGGTCCAATTTCTAGGACACATGGTGAGCGCTCAAGGAGTTCACGTCGACCCCAAGAAAATTGAAGCCGTACGTACGTGGAAGACACCCGAGACGTGAAGGAGTTGCAGCAGTTCCTAGGCTTCGCTAATTACTACAACAGGTTCGTGCCACAGTATGCGAAACTCGCGGCACCACTCACGAATCTGCTGAAGAAGAACACGCCCTACAAATGGGAGACGAAGCACCAGGAAGCCGTGGAGCAGCTGAAACAAGCACTGACATCCGCACCGGTGCTCATCTTGCCAGATCTTGAACGTGACTACGTCATTGAAGCAGACGCCAGTGATCAGGCCGTGGGAGCAGTCTTGATGCAAGACCAGGGGAATGGACTGCAACCAATTGCCTACCTCAGCAAGAAACTGCACGGGGCAGAACTCAACTACCCGATACACGACAAAGAGGCTCTTGCTATTGTCATCGCCTTCAAAGCATGGAGATGTTATCTCGAAGGACGTCAAACAACAGTCTACACCGACCACTGCAGTCTGAAATATGTTGCCGCTATTCAGGCCGAAGGGATGAATCCACTACTCAAGGGACTCTTCACACACGGGTATACCATCGACCCCGAAATTCCCTTGGCAGAAAAACGACATCTACTACAGTGGGGCAACGACATTGCGTACCGGAAAGGATCAACGAAAATTTGGGTACCCAATTACCCTCCTTTACGCCAGTTACTACTCGAAGAATACCACGACGTCCTCTACGCCGGACACTTCGGTAGCAACAAGACGCTGACCGGTATCGCAAAACACTACTACTGGCCTCACTTGGCAGATGATGTTCAGAAATTCGTCACCTCGTGTGATACATGTCAACGGATGAAGAGCAGTAAGCATAAAAAAGCTGGACTGCTACAGCCTCTTCCTGTCCCAGAACAGCCATGGCAAGTGGTTAGCCTGGATTTCATCACCGGGTTACCACCTACCACTAGCGGTCATGACGCAATTCTTGTCGTCATCGACAAATTCTCTAAGATGGGACACTTCATCCCGACACACACGACGGCACGCACCGAGGAGACAGCACAACTCTTCGTTCGCTACATCATCTCACAGCATGGCATTCCAACTACACTCATCTCCGACCGAGACCCCAAGTTCACCAGCAAGTTCTGGAAGGAACTCATGTCTCTGCTCGGCACCAAACTCGCCATGTCATCCGCATACCATCCGCAGACAGACGCACAGACCGAGCGCCTTAACCAGATTGTGGAGCAACTCCTTCGAGCAGCCTGCAAGGACGAGATCTCCAAATGGGACTTGCACCTGCCCGTTCTGGAGTTTGCTTACAACAACGCCACACATGCCGCTACTGGACAGACGCCGTTCTTCCTCTGCTACGGACGCCACCCACTCACACCACAGAAACCGACAACATCAGCAACAGTCCAACCTGCACACGACTTCATCACAACCATGCATCAACTTTGGGATCGGACCCATAAGCGCCTCCTTGACATTCAACAGCAACAGATGCGCCAGGCCGATCGCCATAGCAACGATCACACCATTTCCGTGGGAGACCAGGTGCTCCTCGACACCCGCAACCTGGACATCAGCCACCTCCCATCTAAACTTCGACCTCGCTTCTGCGGACCTTTCCTCGTTGAAGCACAGGTTACCCCTGTTACCTTCCGCTTACGCCTGCCAGCTACCTGGAAGATTCACAACGCCTTCCATGTCCAACTTCTGAATCCCTATCGGGATCCTAACACGATCTTCGTAGGACGCCAGCCGCCGCCGCCGCCGCCCGTCCTCGTCCAGAACGAACCCGAGTACGAGGTCGAGTCCGTGCTTGCACATCGTCGACGTCGGAATGGCACCGTGGAGCTTCTTATTCGTTGGAAGGGCTATGATCCTTCTGAGGACAGCTGGGTCTCTGAAACCGCCATGGGTAATGCCCGTCGTCCTCTGCATGACTACCTTGTCAAGCAGGGTGTTACTTCTACCACCCAGCTTTGAGGGGGGGAAGTGTGAGAGTACGACCCCGTTACACCACTTGTCCTATTCTTATCTCCTTCCTATTTCATTCTTCTTTTTATCTCATCTCATTTGGTTTCCTATTCTCCATTCTTCCATTATCCTTTGGTTGATCCTGCTATTATAATTATATCACCGACTAGGCTTGGGATGTACTGGCACATTATCCAGCGTAATCCTGCCGTAATCCCTTAAAGCCAATGGCCTCGCGTGGCTATACGCAGGGTGATTCTATATTCTAGAAGGGTCTATTCCTTTGGATAGGATAAACCTGGTTACCTGATGTACTCTGGAAGTATGAAATCACCTTGTACTGATCGATAGTGCAATCGATCCTCGAGTCATTCGATCCTGTGACATTTAGGAAGGAGAAAAATATCGAGAGAGAAGATTTGTGGAATAGAAGAGAGAGGGATACAAGAAGGGGGGTTGTACCCTCTACAGTAGGATCCAGTAACACCTACCAAGCCTACCAGTATATATATCAAATATATAATTTAACACACCCCCTAGGCTTGGTAGCTGAAAGCACACCACACATACAGCACACTAAGCCACACACCCCCTAAGCCTAGCACCCCCATACTCAGCAGCAACGACGGCTACTCCAGCATGGTCAACCCCTCGGTGCGTGAGGCGGCGACATCGACAGCGAGGGCAGCGGCTGCAACGGCGGCGTCGGCGGCGGCGTCGACAGCGGCGGCGGCATGCGGTGGCGTGGCCAGCGGCACCAGCTGCGGCGATGGCGGCTTCGACGACATCTGTCGGCGGCGGCGGAGCTCGCAACACTCGGCGGCGTGGCTAGGCTCAGCGATGGTGGGACGGCCGGTGCAAGTCAGCCGTTGGCTGCGGCGAGAAAGAGGGGACGGAGGGGAAGGGGGCGGGGCTTCAGCAGCAGAGCCCGGGAGCATGCCGCCCCGTGTGGCGCGCTGGCTGCATGCGGGCGTACTGGCCAGCGCTAAGACCGGGCGTTGGCCGCTGCCGTCCGTGCCATCTGCGTGCTGGCGCATAGACGCCGCCACGGCAGCAAGACGACGCTGTCACGGCAGCATGACATGGCCGTGGCAGTGGCGCGGAAAGGACAGGAGCGAAGAACGGAATGTGCGGAGGCGTGATGAGCTGGCCCGAGCAGACGGACCTGCTGTGATACCATGTCAAACATAGCTAGCTAGGAAGAGGAACCATAGAATGGCGTGAGGTTTAGGAAAGAGAAAAATATCGAGAGAGAAGAGTTTTGGAATAGAAGAGAGAGGGATACAAGAAAGGGGATTGTACCCTCTACTGTAGGATCCAGTAACACCTACTAAGCTTACCATTATATATATCTAATATATCATTTAACGGCATATAGTCCATGTCGTGCACCGCTCTGGCCAGGTATTCTTCCCCCACTCCCCCCTGCGCCTTGCGCGCACCCCTGCTTTCCCTTTCCCCACCCTCGATTTCCCCCAGTCGTTGTTTGCGAATGTTTTGGTTCTGTCATAATTGGTATGCTCGTTCTGATTGGTTTTCGTAGTGAGCTGTGTTTGCCCACTCTCGCCACCCTCACACCACTACTCCACGCCCCTATTCTTTCTCCAGCTCAACTTTTCGCCAAGTTCATCTTTATTAATCTTGTACGTTTTGGGTCAACCGCTTTGAGCAGAAGTTGGAATTCCTGGGCCACATCGTCTCTACGGAAGGAGTGAAAATCGACCCCAAGAAAATCAAGACCATACAGGAATGGAAGTCGCCAAGCAACATCAAGGAGCTGCAGAGTTTTTTGGGTTTCGTCAATTATGTCCGCTGGTTTAACCCTAATATGCAGGGTTATCTGCCCCGCTAGCTGACCGACTCAAGGATCAAGATTGTTATTCGTGGGGAGAGAAGCAACAAGCTGCATTTGACAAAATGACGATCGCCCTCACGTTGCCGCCCGTCCTTCGCATCTCCGATCCTGACCATCCATACAAAGTCATTATCGACGCTAGCGACATCGGCGCAGTTCTTCTACAGGATTTTGGCGAAGGATTACAGCCGATCGCCTACGAATCACAGAAGCTGCAGGGTGCAAGAAAAACATATATGGTACACGACAAGGAAATGTTGGCGATCGTCCACGCGTTCGAGACCTGGCGGTGCTACCGGACAAGCGCTGACGTCACAGTGCTGACCGACCACAAATCCCTCCAGTACCTGCGAGCCCAGCCAAATCTCAACCCGCGACAAATCCGATGGCTCGATTTCCTCGAGTCAAACTTCCACTACACCATCACCTACAAGGGGGGCGCCAACAACATTGCTGATGCCCGGACCCGACCCACTGCTCATACAGTCGCCATACTAGTCACACAGACCAGCCCAGTTCTTACCAGACTATTTACCCACGGCTACAAGATCGACCCATTCTTTCGCTCCACCATTCACCAACATCATACTACCGCCACCGGACATTACTTCAATAAACGCGACACTTCCCGCATCTGGGTTCCCGGCTACGATTTTCTTCGTACCCTCGTAATCCATGAATCCTACGACAATCCTACCTCCGGGCATTTCGGAGTCGACAAAACCATGAAGACGTTGCAACGCAATTATTACTGGCCAAACATGGTCGACGACGTGCGGGAGTACGTGTCCCCCTGCACCGCCTGCCAAATCATGAAATCATCCCATCAGCGAGCAGCCGGACTCCTACAGCCGTTGGATCCGCCCAAGTGACCCTGGCAACACGTCACGATGGACTACGTGACAGGACTGCCAGCCGGTCCCAGTGGAAACAACGCCATCCTCGTGGTCGTTGACCGACTCACGAAAACGGCGCACTTCATTGCCTGCCAACAGAAAATTACAGCTGAGCAAATTGCCCAAGTGTTCATCACCAACGTCATCAAACTGCACGAACTGCCCACCGCCATCATTTTAGACCGAGACCCGAAATTTACATCGAATTTCTGGTGCCACCTGTGGGACCAATTCGGCACCAAACTACATTTTTCCTCAACCTACCACCCATACACTGACGGGCAGACTGAACGAGTCAACCAAACTATGGAGCAACTCATTCAGACTACCTGCACTGACCCACAGGCATGGAAGAAATCCCTTCCGCTGCTGGAATTCGCATATGAAAACGCACCTTCCGCAACAACCCATCAATCCCCATTTTTCCTCAACTACGGATAGGACCCCGTAGTACCCTCTACACCAAACATCGAGACACCCGTGCCCCAGTCCCAGCGTTTTGCCGAGGATATCCTAGCAGCCCGAGAAAAAGCAGTCGAGGCAATCCGGAAAGCCAACCTGGTTGCAAGCCGACAAGCCGATCGTCATCGACGTGACGTCACCTACAAAGTGGGGAATCTCGTACTACTCGACACTCGCAATTTGCGTCTGCCGATCCCGAGCTAACTCCGACCCCGCTTTTGTGGCCCTTTTCAAGTGACCAATATGGTGACACCCGTCACCGCTCACCTCCAACTCCCGGCTGATTGGCGTCACCACCAAGCTTTCCACGTCAGCCTCCTACGACCCTACGTCCCAAGTTCGTCGGATATGGCACGTCAATGCCACGTCCTGCATCTGAAGCCCCTGCAAGAACCGACGACCAAGCCTCTGAAGATTCTCGGCCATCGAGTCACAACGCAGCAGAACCGTCGGATGGTAGATTTTCTCGTCAGTTGGCGCGATCGGACGTCTGAGGATGACATCTGGGTACCCCTCGCTGATATAGAATCACACCCGATTCTAACAGCATATTATCAGCGTCGGAATCAGGGCTTATTTTATCAGAGTAAATCACTCTGATTCTCTGAAAATCAGAGTCGTTTTTGAAAACCACTCTGATGGTCCTGGGTAAAATTTTGTAAGTAGAAGTTTTCTCTAATTTATCAGAGTTGGCCTATGTACCACCCTGAAGAGTTTTCAATGGGGGGATGCTCATAGATTTTTCCCTGTTCTCTCGGTATTCGGCTAAGTCCTCCGACTGCCAGTCACACCCCTCCCATACCCCACGTACCCTGGATAATTTTGACTAAGTCCTTCGCAACTGGTCACATCCCGCCTCATACCCGCCGTAACCTGGAAATTTTCGGCTAAGTCCTCTGTAACCAGTCACAACACACTTATACCCCACGCAACCCAGGCACATTCCTCCTTCCCACACCCAACCCAACCTAGCCCAGCTGTGTTCAGTGCTGTTTGACTAGCCCTTACCGTCAATCATGCTACATTTCACGTGTGTAACTTGGCACGGGGTTGACATGTAAACATTACAGCAAAGGCGATTGGTACAGCACATGCGCCAGCCAATCACTTGCGTATTGTTTCTGTACTTCACTCACAGGCAGACATGATTGGCTGTTGTTATTCCCACGCGAAATGCCTGCCAGCGCGAGATGCAGTGCTGACTGAGGACGCGTTTTGTACCTGAGGCGAGCCCCAAGGGAAGAATTCGGGGCATCAAATATAGGTACGGCGAGATCCCCTAAGCCAGCACTTTGGGTCATCTGGTCCGTCAAACTGATGCCCCGAAGTCCTGCCTAAGGACTCCCCGGGTACGGAACGTGCCCTGTCGAAGTATTTCGGAGCAGAGGCTGGATGATTTTTTTGGCAGAACCCGGCCGAGACATCCCAGTTTCCAGCAGACTGTACTGGGCAGATTTCGGCCCAAATCTCTATAAAGCTACACTTTTCAGCGTTCATTCAGCACAAGTCTTGGGCACGGAATTGTAGGGGTTGTGTATATGGCACGCGCCTAAAGTATACACGTTGCGATTTGGCAGTCTTCCGGGATAAAGCACCACGTTGCGAAATAGTCGTGGGGAGTGAATCCTGGGCATCAGAGTTTTTATTTGAAAATTGTGAAAAAACCCTGACAAATCAGAGTTCGAGCTCCAGGGCACTCTGAAAATCAGAGTTTGGCCAGGAGTGACTCGTGAAAATCAGAGTGGTGAAAAACCAAAGATAAGCCCTGGTCGGAATGTTTCCGATGCACGCGGCCTCGTTTAGGAAGGGGGGGGGTAGTGTAAGGAATTTCCATTCCTTACTAAGCCGTACGTTAGCGCGTACACCCGAACTTCTCGACTCGTCACGTTCGGCCTCATTTGTCGGCCCAACCCTTTCCCGTGTCACGTCCGGCACTGTCGCCACATTGCCGAACCTACCCGCGTTCCGAGGTTATCGCCCTAGCACGCCAACCCCTATATAACCTCTTGCCTTCATTGCAATAGCGACCTGGTATTCTCACGTTATATTTCATTGACACTTCCTGTATCATAACAACGTGAACTTTGCGTAACGCGTGTCGAACCGCAAGAGCTTCCTTTGCACTAGGCTCCGCCGGCTAAAGCAAGACTTAGCTTAGTGGCCAGGGCATTGTCCACTCTGTACACTGTAGTAGGTAGTTCACTCTGGAGTCCGCTGCAGGTGGGACTTATTTGTAGCATGGTAGCCGGGGCATTGTCGTAGCGAGCGTCACATCTTCACGATCTGAAGGCGAGAATGTATCTCAGCATTACCACATGAAGTCGATACTAGTCTCGACGACGCCATCCTCGGGTCTGTGAAGGTGGTACTGTAGCTTGAAAGCAAGCACCACGTACCTTGTCGCACCGTCCGCCGCTCCTGGCTCTGGACATACCATCCATCGTCGCCGTCGCATTGACGTGGCACCGATCGATCGCCAAGGGAAAACTGCCATCTGTCAGTCCATGATTCCCGTCAATGGACGGGCAATTACCGTCTCAGCTGGCGCGCTGTCGCAGGTGTCAGAGTTTCTTGCGCATGAGATGAGATTCTTTGTCCGGTACACGAGCATCGGTCCCTGCCGGTTTCGCGGTAGCTGCAAGTGAGCCCGATTACCTCAAGTGCGGGACAGCCTCAAGCGCTGGACGGCGGGCTGAAATAGTGCAGCCAAATCAGTCGTCAGGACAGCGGGACAGCGGGACAGCGGGACAGTTTTACGACTGATCTCCACGTCACAGCCGTTCGATATGGCGTTCTCGCTGACCAAGGCCGGCGGCAGTAGCGCGACCCGCCAATTGCATTGCCCCTGGCGGTTAGGGACGCGACGCGGAATATTCTCCCTCTGTCTGCTAAGTTTCGTCCTCCTGCTCGTCGTGCTCACCGTAGAATTCGGCGACGACGACGACGACGATGGCGACGCGAATTCGTCGCGAACGCGGGTTACCAGCAGCTATGACGACATAGACGACGGGACACGTGGCAGTGGCGGATTGGACGAGTTCTGGGGGCTGGGCCAGCAGGGGCAGGGCCGGTACTGCAGGGAGCGAGGCCAGCTGGCGGTGTGTCGGCCTCCCGATGCTGTCATTCTAGCGGAGGTGAGAATCTTAAACGTTGTGATTGTATCAGAGGTGAGGCTCATTGCAGTTTGTGAATCTAGCGGAGGTGAGGTCCTTAAGAGTTGTGGTAGCCGTTGCTCTCTTCCCAGCAGCCAGCCTCGCCGGTCGCCCTCTGAGTGTCAACCTGACCCAGCAGGGTGTTTTTGAGAATTCTCAAAATCAACCTGACTCACACGAATGCCCCCCTCCCACCCCCCCCCCCGCCCCCCCCCTCTCCGTGCTTTCTATCTGGGCGATATAAGCCCTCGCGTCTCCTCCTCTGCTCCGCGTCTGCTTTCCTCCCAGCAGCCAACCTCACCAGCACTGTCCGTCTCTGGGTGTCCGGCCCCACCATGTCTAGTTTTGAGGCGCCTCAAAACTCGTCTCTGGGTGTCCGACCCCACCATGTCTAGTTTTGAGGCCCCTCAAAACTCGTCTCTGGGTGTCCGGCCCCACCATGTCTAGTTTTGAGGCGCCTCAAAACTCGTCTCTGGGTGTCCGGCCCCACCATGTCTAGTTTTGAGGCGCCTCAAAACTCGTCTCTGGGTGGCCGGCCCCACCATGTGTTCTCCCCGTCCCCCTCACCCCCCCGTCCTACCCTTCCCCCCTTCCCCTCCCAGGCCGATCTAGGCTCGCGCCTCTCGTCCGTCTGTTCGGCCGCTGCTCTGTTTCCAGCATCCAACCTCACCACTCTCGCCCTCTGGGTGGCCGACCCCTCCATGCCGCACATCCGCTTCTCTGACCTCTTCACCTTTGGGGGCGGGGATCCCGCTGCTGCTCGCGTGGAAGGGAGGGCCGCGTACGGCGGTGCTGCTGGGGTGGGCGTGGGGGAATCTGCTGGTGGGAATGCCACAGGTGCAGGCACAGGGGACAGCAGCAGCAGCAGCCGCGGCGGCGGCGGCGGTGGCGGCAGCAAGAGTGGGGGTGTGGGGCGGTCAGTGTGGGTGGAGGAGGGCAACGAGACGGCTGCTTACTGGCGCGAGTTCCTCGCACTCACGCACCGACCTGTAAGAGCCCGCTCGTTTCCGTGCATATTAAGATTTTGAGGCGTCATAAAGCCCAAGTCCCAAATTGCGTGTCGCGTGGTTCAAGCTTTAGATATATGAAATCTGACAACTTTGGGTCGTTTTTTCACGAAACTGGGGTTACACAGACGGCGAACCTGATTGGTCGAAAACTTGACTGTTGGGTTTGCGTGGGTTGGCCAGCGGGAACTTGAAGGTGGGGGTCATTGCAAGTTGGGACTTATGCATTTCAATCCAACCAGTGCCCCTTGGATCCGCTGAATAAGCGAAACGAAATACACTCGCGACAGGTTTGCCGAAATCAACAGCATCGTCACTCACAAAATATCTTACTGTCGCACGTCATGTTTCTCAAGCATGAACGTTTTGGGCTGCGGGCTTTAAAGACGACCTGTGTGGGTGGAGGAGGGCAACTAGACGGTTTCACACTGGCGAGTTCCTCTCACTCGCTCACGCACCGACCTGTAAGAGGCCTCTTGTTTCGCCATGCCGTGTCGTGCGTTCCCGTCCTTTTGGCCCCCATCCAACCCCTCACCCCCCATCCAACCCCCTCACCCCCCATCCAACCCCTCACTCCTCATCCCATCCCCACCCGACTCAGGTCACCATCCGCGGGTGTCAGAAGCGCCGTGCATCCCCCGACCCCTCTGCTGCCCCTGCCGCCTCGATCACTCTCAACCTCTACCTCTCCCCCACCTCCATCAACTGGCTCGTGGTGCGTGGGTGGTGCAAGTGAGGTGTGTTGTGCTGCCCGTGCCAGTGCCAGTGCCAGTGCCAGTGCCAGTGCCAGTGCCAGTGACAGTGACAGTGCCAATGCCAGTGCCTCCTCACTGTCACCCTCACTCTCACTCTCACTCTCACTCTCACCGTCACCCTCACCCTCTACCTGTACCCCTTGCAATCCCCCCCTTCCGATCTCCCCCTTGCAATCCTCCCCCTTGCAATCCTCCCCCTTCCGATCCTCCACCTTCCAATCCTCCCCCTTCCGATTCCCCCCTTGCAATCCTCCCCCTTCCGATACCCCACTTGTAATCCTCTCCCTTCCGATCCCCCCCCCACCCCCCTCCTGCCCAAATCAGGACGCTGTGGATCCGTGTGCGTTTGAGAGCCACGTGTCGGCGTTTCAGTTCTTCCTCTGTCACACAATCGCCTGTCTGACTGAACTGAACTCACTCACTCTTCCCACCCCCATGCGAATCAGGACGCCGTGGATCCGTGTGCGTTTGAGCGCCACGTGTCAGCGTGCATGGCTCTTCTCCACCCCGCCCCGGCTGTCTCCAAGCTGCTGCTCCAGGAGGACCTCGGGCGAGTCAAATCCGCCCTCGGGCTTTACGTTGACGTGAGTGCCCTTCACGCCCTGCCCGCCTGCCCGCCTGCCCGCCCACCCGCCCACCCGCCTGCCACCCCGCCTGATCCAGCTGAAAGGCAGATTGGGTGAAGCCAGTGTGACCTCTTTCGCCTGCATTCAAATGCGGATCCCTTCTAAGCCGCGTTGCGAGGGTCTGTGCCCCCCCCACTGTGTCTCTTTCCCCCTTCTCCCCTTCCCTCTCCCCCACCAGGGTCTCTCCCTAGACGGCTTTGACGGCTGCCGCATATCCGCCACCTCTTCCCCTCCCTGCGCCTCCTCGCTCTCTTCCCCTCACTCCCTTACTCTCTGCCCCCCCCACCTGCCCCCCCCACCTGCCCCCGCCACCAGGATCTCTCCCTGGACGGCTGTGACGGCTGCCCCATATCCGCCACCTCATCCCCCCCCCTCTGCGCCACGCGCCGCCTCGCCATGTCTTTCCTCAAGCGCCCCTCGCTAGATTTCGCCCTCGCCGCCCGCACCGCCCTCAACGCCGCCCAGATTTCCGACGCTTTTCATCCTGCCCGTGCTCCCCTGATGCTCAAGGCCACGCAATTGCGTGCTGCCACGTGTCCCAAAGGGGAGAGGGCGGTTTTAGGGGAAGGCGGGGTGGAGGAATGGTTGAAGGGGGGCGAAGTGGACGGGAGTGGTAGTACTGTTGGTGGTGATGGTGGAGGGCTAACTGTAGGGGGGGGAGTGGGGAACGGTACGGAAGCAGGGAATGGTACGGAGGTGAGGCAGCTGCTCACGAGGAAGAGCCTCTCACCCGACGACCTCATGCTGTGCGTTCGGCTGCAGGTATGTCTGTCTGGGTGTGGATGGGTGTGGATGGGTGTGGATGTGTGTGGATGTGTGTGGATGTGTGTGGATGTGTGTGGGTGCGTGTGGATGTGTGTGGGTGTGTGTGGATGTGTGTGGATGTGTGTGGATGTGTGTGGATGTGTGTGGATGTGTGTGGGTGTGTGTGGATGTGTGTGGGTGTGTGTGGATGTGTGTGGATGTGTGTGGGTGTGTGTGGATGTGTGTGGATGTGTGTGGATGTGTGTGGATGTGTGTGGATGTGTGTGGGTGTGTGTGGATGTGTGTGGATGTGTGTGGATGTGTGTGGGTGTGTGTGGATGTGTGTGGATGTGTGTGGGTGTTGGTGGGGGGGGGGGGAAGGGGGGGGAGAAGAACGGGTGAGGAGGGGGGTGGGATTGGGGTGTGCTTGGAGTTGTGCAAGCCTGTTTTTTTCCATGTCGCACAACCCCTCGTCCTTCGTCCACCCCTCCCAGGCAGTGGAGCTCTCCGCGTGATCGAAGTCTAGTTTTAAGGCGCCTCAAAACAGGGCACAGCACAGTCAAAGTGCCTTCAAACTTCAATCCCCTTACTCCCACCCCTCCCAGGCAGTGTTTACGGTTTAGCATGACCCGCGGTCTCACCTCCCTGAGGGGCGGCCTCGCCTCGCCCCACGCCATGTGCATCGAAACATCGGCGTGACTAAGGTGCATTGAACCCCCACATCCCATCCCCATCCCACCCCCCCCAGGCAGTGGAGCTCTTTGCTCTCAGCATGACCCGCGGTCTCATCTCCCTGAGGGGCGGCCTCGCGTCGCCCCACGCCATGTTTATCGCCGCCCAGGGCGCCGCCCGCTCCGACCTGTTCCGCGTGCAGCGGCCCGTGTGCGACTCGCCGCCACTGCTGCCACTGACAAAGCAGAAGCTGGCACATTTTACAATCATCGAAGGTAGGAGCCCTCTAGTCTGAATCCCACACTCTGGACCTTGAACCCCCGACCCGACCCTACACCCTGAGCCCTAGACTGCTGCCACTGACAAAGCAGAGAGCATGGCGCACTTCACCATCGCTGAAAGTAGGAGCACTAAAGTCTGAACCCTTGACCCCAGCCCCTGAGCCCTGGACCCTAGACCCTGGACTCTAGTCCCTAGACCCTTGACCCCAGCCCCTGAGCCCTGGACCCTAGACCCTGGACCCTAAACCCACTCTCCTCCATCCCGGCCCCCCCTCCCAGAATCCCTCAAGGTGGTGTACTGCACCATTCCCAAGGTGGCCTGCAACTCGTGGCTCATGAGGTCTAAAGGGACTCTCCCTTGCTCCCCACCAAACACCCACTTCCCCCCTCAGAGTCCCTCAAGCTGGTGTACTGCGCCATTCCCAAGGTGGCGTGCAACTCGTGGCTCATGTGGCTGAGGGCGCGTCTGGGGCTGCCCAACCCCGAGGACCCCCTGCTGGCGCTGAACGAGAAGAAGTGGGGGCTGCACGAGCTGGCGCTCGACTTCACAGAGGAGGAGGCGGTAAGTTGGCAAGTGTGGTGGGGGGGGCCCAACCCCGGAGAGGACCCCTTGCTGGCGCTCAACGAGAAGAAGTCGGGGTTGCACGAGCTGGCATTGGACTTCACAGAGGAGGAGGCGGTGAGTGGCACTGCGTGGCTTATACAGGCGTGCTCTTAGGCACCACATACGATCCGCTGCTGGCACTGAACGAGAAGAAGTGGGAGCTGCACGAGCTGGCATTGGACTTTACAGTAGAAGAAGCTGTGAGGCACTGAGAATGCGGTGAGTGGTACTGAGAATGCGGTGAGTGGCACTGAGAACGCAGTGAGTGGCACTGAGAATGCGGTGAGTGGCACTGAGAATGCGGTGAGTGGCACTGAGAACGCAGTGAGTGGCACTGAGAATGCGGTGAGTGGCACTGAGAATGCGGTGAGTGGCACTGAGAATGCAGTGAGTGGCACTGAGAATGCGGTGAGTGGCACTGAGAATGCAGTGAGTGGCACTGAGAATGCAGTGAGTGCTCGTATGTTGTGCTGAACTGTGCCCAACCCGGAGGACCCGCTGCTGGCGCTCAACAGCAACAAGTGGGGGCTGCATGAGCTGGCTCTCGGCTTCACAGAGGAGGAGGCGGTGAGTTTTCTAGAATTCTCAAAAACACCCTGCACAGAGGAGGTGGTGAGTGCTGCTGAGTGCCGTGTTTAGAAGCACTACGCACCTCAAACGACCCCTTGATGGCGCTCAACGGCAACAAGCGAGGGCTGCACGAGCTGGCTCTCGGCTTCACAGAGGAGGAGGCGGTGAGCGCTGCCTGGCTGTGTTGGACATGCCTCAAATCGCCCTACTGGCGCTCAGTGAGAAGAATTGGCGGCTGCACGAGCTGCCACTCGAATTCACTGAAGAAGTGGTGGTGAGCGCTACTAGGCTGCACTGAAAGGGGTGCTACTAGGCTGCACTGAAAGGGGTGCTACTAGGCTGCACTGAAAGGGGTGCATGCCTCCAACGACCCGCTGCTGTACGGAAGAGGAAGCGGTGAGTGAGGAAAGGGGGAAAGGGCTACTGGGTCGTGAATGAGCTGCTTCTGACCGGTCAATGAGAAACAGGGGCGGGAGAGAAGGGGCGGCTGGGGGGGGGCACGTACACGCACTTGTCTTTGAAGGTGATTTCTTGGAATTCTCATGCACTACAACAACATGCGGGGCTTGGGGGGTGCGTGAACAAGCACTTGTCATCGAAGCTCGGGCTGTTGTGTATTCGATTCAAGCACCTCCAATCCAACTCCAACGACCTGCCCTGCCCCTGCTGCTGCCAGATTACAAGCAGCGGGGTGGGGATGGTAGTAGCACGAGCTTACATAGCGCGTGAAGGAGTGTCAGTCTTCCTCTGTTTGCCGTCGTTAATCGCTCAATTGCTCGACCTGTGGTCTGCATTCACCCCCCGGTGACACCATTCAATCTCCCTCTTCTCCCTATTCCTGCCAATCCGCCTCATGTCGCGCTCATATCCCTTTCCCCCGCCTTCTTCAAGTTCAGCTTCGAGCGCAACCCCTTCCCCCCGTTAGACATCCCCCCCTTATGTCACCTAATCTTGCTCCATTGTTACCCCAACCCAAACCCCTTTCCAGATCCACCGGATGATGCGCCCGGACTTCTTTTTTTGAGGCGCCTCAAAAATGATGCGCCCGGACTTCCTTTTTTGAGGCGCCTCAAAAATGACGTGCCCGGACTTCTTTTTTTTAGCGCCTAAAAAATGATGCGCCCGGACTTTTTTTTTTTAGGCGCCTAAAAAATTATGCGGCCTGACTTCTTTTTTTTAGGCGCCTCAAAAATTATGCGCCCGGACTTCTTTTTTTGAGGCGCCTAAAAAATTATGCGCCCGGACTTCTTCAAGTTCACCGTTGTGCGCAACCCCAAGTCCTCCTTGTCACCCCTCCCTCCTTCCATTACCTCTTCCGCCCCATCCCTCCCATCCGCCCTTCCAGATCCGCCTGATGACCCGCCCGGACTTCTTCAAGTTCACCTTCGTGCGCAACCCCTTCTCCCGAGTGGCCTCAGCCTACTCCAACAAGCTTGTGCTCACCGACACGCCGAAGCACAAGACAGGCACGGGGTGGGGCACTCGGCAGTACTGGAGCAACGTGAGTGGCGGGGTTGGGATGGTTTGTCGTTGGTGCACTCCCCATCATCCTAATCCAACAAGCTCGTGCTCACCGACACACCCAAGAGGAAGACAAGCACGGGGTGGGGCGCTCCGCAGTACTGGTGCAATGCGAGTGGCATGGTTTGGCCTTGGTGCAATGTGAGTGGCATGGTTTGGCCTTGGTGCAATGTGAGTGGCATGGTTTGGCCTTGGTGCAATGTGAGTGGCATGTTTTGGCCTTGGTGCAAAGTGAGTGGCATGGTTTGGCCTTGGTGCAAAGTGAGTGGCATGGTTTGGCCTTGGTGCAAAGTGAGTGGCATGGTTTGGCCTTGGTGCACCCCCACTTCGTCCACACCCATGTGCAAGGGATGCTGCAGTCCAGCCCATGTACATGCCGTCCCCCCTCTCCCCATCCTTTACAGACCCTTTTCCACCACGTCAAGCCCATGTATGAGGCGGTCAAGGACAGCCAGGGGCTCTTCTCCTTCCTGAGAATCCAAATCACCTTGATAGCTGCCTTCCTTTCTCCCCTCCATGCCACCCTCGCTTCCCCTACCAGACCTTCTTCCATGCCACCCTCGCTTCCCCTACCAGACCTTCTTCCATGCCACCCTCGCTTCCCCTACCAGACCTTCTTCCATGCCACCCTCGCTTCCCCTACCAGACCTTCTTCCATGCCACCCTCGCTTCCCCTACCAGACCTTCTTCCATGCCACCCTCGCTTCCCCTACCAGACCTTCTTCCATGCCACCCTCGCTTTCCCTACCAGACCTTCTTCCATGCCACCCTCGCTTCCCCTGCCAGACCTTCTTCCATGCCGTCAAGCCCGTGTACGAGGCAGTCAAGGACGGCCAGGGGCTCATCTCCTTCCCTTGCTGCACATCCGGCATGTTTCCCTTCACGTCCACTTGTGCCTCCCTGCCTCCCCCCTCAACAGTCATTCTTCCACCATCTCAAGCCCATGTGCGAGGCGAGGCGGTCAAGGACGGCCAGGGCCTCCCTCCTTCCCACACTGCTGAGTCAAATAAGCATGTGGCTACCTCACCCCCACCCTCCCCCCTCAACAGACCTTCTTCCACCACGTCAAGCCCATGTACGAGGCCGTCAAGGACAGCCAGGGGCTCGTCACCTTCCCAGACTTCGTCCGCCTCGTGGGCAAGCTGCTGGCCAGCCACCGCGCTGACATGGACCGCCACCTGGCGCCACAGGAGGACATCTGCGCGCTGGGGGCGATGAAGTACGACTTTGTGGGGCGTTTCGAGCGCATGGAGGAGGATGTCAAAGTGGTGGTGGATAAGTTTGGAGGCAAGCACTTGGATGTGTTCAAGTTTGGGAAAGGAGCGCATTTCACCGACACCGACAGACGACTGGCAAAACTATATGATAAGGTGGGTGTGCAGACTGACAGATAGAGCCGTCAAGTGCGACAAGGTGGCTTTATTGGTGGTGAAGTGGCTTGTGAAATGAATCACAAGAGCCGCGTGGCTCCGAAGGAGGACATCTGTGTGCTGGGGGCGATCAAGTATGGTTTTGTAAGGCGCTTCGATGAGGTTGTGCATGTGTTGGTGCCAGGCTGATTCATCCACCAATACAGCTTTGTGGGGCACCTTGAGAGCATGGAGGAGAGCCTGAGAGGAGTGGTGGATAGGCTTGGCAGGTGGCACCTGGAGGTGTTAACATTCGACAAGAGGGCACGCTTCACAGTACTGACAGGTGGCTAGCCAAGCTGCATGTCGAGGTGTATGACTCTTTGGGTATTTTCCCCAATAAGGAGTTGGCGCATATCCTAGTTTCCCCTCCTTCCCTCCCCCCGCCCCCCCCCCCCCCCCCTCCCCTTCGCTTAGTGTATCTTCCCCACCCCACTTTCCCCCCCACTTCTTCCCGGCTCTTATGTGTCGTCCCCTCCCTAAATCCGTTTGTTGCATGCTTTCAGGATACCTATGAGAGGGTGAAGAAGATATATGCGATGGATTTTTATATCGCAATGAACAATATCACACATGAAACTCCTAGGGCATTGTATGAGATGTACGAAAACGATTTTTGATGTATCCTCATTGATTTTTCCCCTTTTAAAGCGCGTAACCCAAGTAAGACCAGGACTCAAAGTCTTTGATCCTTGGTCTCTCGCAAATCCCAACCTGCGTTCACAAGGTTACCCTGAAACTGATCGATTGGATGGAAACCCCGAACGACGAGGTTGGATTGGTTGCTTCCCCATCCACGCTGGGCTGCGACAGCGACCGACCGCACCTGCAAATAACCTGTTCCCCAAGCGAGGATCAAGACTCAGAGCATCAAGTTTATTTGGGACTCCTGACTATGGCGGCCGTAGGGTAGAAGAAAAACCGAGTTAGGTAGGACTAACTAGCATGTACATCCTAAAATTTTAGGGGATCGCCGAGGCATCGCGATGCACGCAGGTACGCGGTTGAAAAAAATCCGACACACTAGTGGTCACTCACGCCTCACACAATAGCACGCGGCTATGTCTCGCGAGCAAGACGACATTAGTCACGGAAACCAGCAGACTCGCGGGAATTTGAAGCACGACCCAGACCATTCGCGTCGCAATTAACAACCAGTGAGCCACTCCGCGCCCTTCTTCTTGCAAAACTTTGTGCTCGAATGTCGATCACACATCCCCTCGTCGCACATGCAACTCCCCATTCGCCGTCCCCCTCGTCGCACGTGCAGCCCTCCCCCACCAAGACGCTCTTCCCCTCGTCCCACATATCCCAACCCCTCGCCGCACATGCAACCCTTCCCCGCTGTCGCCCTTCCCCGCTGTCGCCCTTCCCCGCTGTCGCCCTTCCTCGCTGTCGCCCTTCCTCGCTGTCGGCCTTCCCCGTTGTCGCCCTTCCCCGCTGTCGCCCTTTGCCGCGTTGCCCTTCCCCGTTGTCGCCCTTTGCCGCGTCGCCCTTCCCCGCTATCGCCCTTCCCCGTGCCGCCCCTTTTCACTTCGCCCTTCAGCGTGTCGCCCTTCTCCATATCGCCCTTCTCCGCGTCATCCATCAAGCTTCCCCTCGCCGCCATTTCTCCCTGCCCCTTGCTGTCAATCTCCCTTCTCTGCGTCGTCCTACTCCCTTCCACTCGCCCTCATTTCCCCCCACCCTCCTGCTCCCGTTCAGGGAGCAAGTGAGCAGTTCCCACTCCATTTTCCCCCACCCCCCTGCTCCCGTTCTCACTCCATTTCCCCCCACCCCCCTGCTCCCGTTCTCACTCCATTTCCCCCCACCCCCCTGCTCCCGTTCTCACTCCATTTCCCCCTTATTTCCCCCTCATTTCCCCCTCATTTCCCCCTCATTTCCCCCTCTCATCCCCCTCAGTTCCCCCCTCTTTCCCCTCAGTTCCTCCTCTCCTTTCCTTCAGCTCCCCCTCTTGCCCCACACTCCCCCCCTCTTTCCCCCCCCCATCTCCATCTCCGTTTCCCCTCGGATCCCCTCTGCATCCCCTCTCTTTCCTCATAGCTCCTCCTCCCTTTCCCCTCATCTCCCCTCTTCTTTGCCCCCCTCCTCCACTTCGGTTCTCTCCCTCTCCCCCTATCCTCCTCTCTCTTTCCCCCAGTCCTTTTCTCCCTTTCCCCCTATCCTCCTCTCCGTTTCCCCCCATCCTCCTTTCCCTTTCCCCCTATCCTTCTCTCCCTCTCCCCCTATCCTCATCTCCCTTTCTCCCTTTCCTCCTCTCCCTCTCCACCTATCGTCCTCTCTCTTTCCCCCTGTCCTCCTCTCCCATCCGCGCTCCCCCTTTCCCCCCCCGTTCCCTCTCATTCCTTTCTGCTGCTCCCATTGTCTCCCCCTGTTTTCATTCCACCCCCTTGCTCCGTTTCCCCCCCTGCTCCCATTGTCTCCCTGCCCCGTTTCCAAGGCGGGAGTGAGGTTGTGATGGTGGGGCCTGACTCTTACTTCTCATCTCCCGCTCTCTTGCCTCTCAGCTCCCGCTCTCTTGCCTCTCAGCTCCCGCTCTTTTGCCTCTCATCTCCCCACTGCTCACCCCTCATTCACTCACTACCCCCATTCTTTGCCGTCTGCCCCGCCCTCTCCTTGCTCTCCCAACAGTGGATCATGACACGCACAGGGCACTGCACGCATCACCTTGCACTCTCCTCGCCTCTTCCGCGCTCTCCCTCGCACCACCATACCCTTTAAGCTCGTGTTGATGAAAAGACTTTATTATAAGATACTCTGTTTGAAAAGAAATCAACGATTGGGCGTAACAACCAGAATGCATCTATCCTATATACTATATTACTTTTGTTACGCATGGCCTTAGAGTGAGCTCATTGTTTGTTTTTGCAGACTTTAGTTATATAATTACATATCGTTTATGGTTTAGTTTTGGCGCTGTAAAATAGTTACCGTGGGCTTGGTTGGGACCAAGCTGGGCGTGTTTCCAGAATAATACGTTTCGTGTTTCGGGTACCTCACGAGTGCTTTTGCCTGATCGTTTTTTAACCTGACAGTCTTAGCTACACATTGGGATCGGTATATTCTCGTCACTGTACGCGTCCCACCTCTGGTGCACCCTCCCTGTTTCAGCTCGTCGCCAAATTGTCGCCCATCTCCCGCAGGCGAGGTCTGTGACTTTCGCGCTTCCCCAAACCCATTTTTCGTTTCGCAACCCCCTTGCGAATTTCGCCTCTCTGACCAAGGATCAAAGACTTTGAGTCTTGGTCGTTCTTGGGTCACGCGCTTTAAATCGTGACATTCCTTATGAATGCGCTGTTTATGCACGTCACCACATGCACAGTCCAGTACACCAGCTCCAGCCAGCTTTTCGTAGAGCACACTGGGAGATGTCGCCGCGACAGAGCTGCAGAATGACGTGGATCCGAGGCAAACCTGCTTGGCGGCGCTTCATTCGCACCTCTGATTGGCTGCACAAAGGAACAAATGGCATTCCGAAGTCTCAGAAGGCAGCTGGAAAGGCCGGGCAGGTTGGAAAAGCGCCTAGACGAATCGGCTGCAGGACGAAGGACATGGAGCAGGGGTTTCGCGCGGATATGAGGGGTTTTTGCACAAAGCAAATGGACCGCTGACAAATTGATGGCAGCACTTGCCATACCTAGCTTGCACACTTCTGTCCGTCCTCTCTGCTCCAGTGTGCTGAATACCCAGACCAGACCACCCCATGGCGTTATGTTCCCGAGGTCGCATGTTCTCTAGGTTGGCTGTTCTCCAGCCTGGGTATTCCCAAGGCTGGCTGTTCCTTGAGCTGGATGGTCTCTCAATGGGCAAGCAAGCAGGACAACTGGCGATCCATGCTGGTACTGTAACGTTAGGACTAGATTGCAAGTCTAGAATGGCAGGAGACTAGGTTTCTACAGCACCACCAAGCAGCAGGTCCGAATAATCGCAGAACTTCCAATAAGCGCAACTAATCATGGAGTTAGCGGAAGTTGTGCCGACGGCTAGAATATCAGACGCGAACGATATCTTATGACATTCCGGCGGTCGTGACACGCGAAGGATATTTCTTTGTGAATGGCTTCATGGTTCTGCCATACTGAGAATTATGACAAAATTGCATTAGGGCATTATTACGACATCATAACCTTAGGACATTTATGACATTATGGCACCGGATGCTGCCTAGCCTGGGCTCTTCAAATTCCGACACCGTAATCCCGAGCCAGAATCGTCTCATTGGTGCTGATTACTGTATTCTAACAACAACATCAACAACAACAACAAAATAGAAACCTATGCTTTCAGCGTTAGCAATCGCTAAACGCAAGGAGGTTCCGTTTCGCTCTAAGTTATAGGGTGAAGGAGGAATTACGGCTATCTCTGGCAGCCTTATCGCACTATAGGATAAGACCGACTTCATGTTCCAGTGCCTGTCATAAGCCGCCTATTGTCCGAATCCCGAACGCCGAACGCCAGACGCCAAACGCCAAACGCCAAACGTCAGACGTCAAGCGTCGAACGCGGAACGCCAATCCATGTCGTTAAAGCCCCCCAGTGCCGCTGCCGCAGCAGCCGCCGCCGCAGCTGCTGCAGCGCTTGGCGCGGGCGCGTCAGTAGAAGGCCACCCCGCGTCACCGGCCGGCTCCCCCGCTGCTGCCGCCACGTCTCCCGCTGCAACGACCACCGCAGCAGCAGCAGCAGCAGCAGCGGCGGCAGTAACAACAACAACAACACCGCCAGCAGCAGCAGCAGCAGCAACAGCAACCGGTGGTGGTGCCTCCCCTCCCTCACCCTCCTCCGCACCTGCTGCCACGCCTCCTGGTGACACTGTCACGGAAGCCATGGGGGTTTCTGAACCTGCACCTACTGCTGCTGCTGGTGGCGCTGTTGCTGCTGCCGCGGCTAGTGCTCCCACTGGTGCCACGGCCATGCTCTCTCCCTCCACGTCAGCGTGTACGAAGGCCGCCACGTCGTCGTCGCTGTCGTCGGCACAGCAGGCGCCGTCAGAGGGGCGAAAGATATCGTGCGAGGACATTCAACTGGTAGGATCTTGAACTGGTAGGGTTATAGACAGGTAGGACTCTCAGGTGGGGGGGCATTCAACGGGTAGGATCTTGAACTGGTAGGACTATAGACAGGTAGGACTCCCAGGTGGTAGGGTTATCAAGTGGTAGAATATTCTGTTGACAGAAACCGGGTCGTTTGTGTGCTGTTGGCATTGGAATCGACAATGGCAGGCGCGGATTCTGGTAGAGCGCTGTCTGGAGCTGTACACGAGTCACCCTCTCTTAATCCCGTCTGCCTCCTCCCCCGCCCCTCCCGGCTGCCATTGGTGGTGGCAGGTGCACAAGCTGATAGAGCGCTGCCTGCAGCTGTGCATGAGTCACCTTTTCATCCCCCGTCTGTCTCTTCCCCCGCTCCTCCCTGCTGCTATGCTATCCCGCCCTTGGCATTGGCAGGTGCAGAACCTCATCCAGCGCTGTCTGCAGCTGTACATGAGCCTGCGCCTCGCATCCTCATCGCCCAATCTCCCACTTCCCCCACCCTCCCTGCCACTCTTGGCATTGGCAGGTGCAGAACCTCATCGAGCGCTGCCTGCAGCTGTACATGAGCCAGCGCGAGGTGGTGTCCACGCTGCAGTACCAGGCCAAGATCGAACCCGGCTTCACCAAACTCGGTCCGTCCGTCTCTCCCTCGCCTCGCCTCGCTCTGTCAGACCGTCGTCTGCTCTGCGGGTCCTGAATGCCTGGATGCAGGGTGTTTTTGAGAATTCGCTAAAGTACCCTGCAAAATCAAGGATCCTGAATGCCTGGGTGCCTTGCCTTGCCCTCTCGAGGATGTCTCGCTTTAATTTCGATTGGTGATCATTCGGATCTATTTCATTCATACTTGTCCTCATGAGTCGACGCAAAAGTCACCTCGCATTCATTTAGGTTGGAGGGCTATTTTCATTCGCGCCTATCATTCAGGAAGAGAGCCCATGGGGAATCCAATTTTTCCTACTTATCCCTCTCTGGCCAGCCATAGGCACCGTGTCTATCCCCCCAAGCTCTCTGTGTTAACCGTCCGCTATCCCGCTGCGTTCTTTCAATGGCGCCTTCCCCGTTGTGCCCCCCCCGCGCTCCTTGTATGGGTTCCTTCCCTCCTTAACCCGCCACATCCTAAACCCTCAACCCTTCTACTTTGCCTCCCGCCTTCTCCCCACTCTCCTCCCCACTCTCCTCCCCACTCTCCTCCCCACTCTCCTCCCCATTCTCCTCCCCACTCTCCTCCCCACTCTCCTCCCCACTCTCCTCCCCCCTCTCCTCCCCACTTCCTCCCCACTCTCCTCCCCACTCTCCTCCCCAAATCCTTCTCTACGCTGCAGTGTTGCAGAAGCTGTAGGAGCAGTACCACATGAGGCCACGCCTCTTGTGCCCGATCCACCAGGTCAACTTCCCCCTCCCTCCCTCCCCCCCAACCCCCGCCACCTTTTCTCCCCTGTCCATCACAGTGTGGCAGAAGCTGGAGGAGCAGAACCCGGACTTCTTCCGCTCCTACCACATGAGGTTACGGCTCAAGGACCAGATCCACCAGTTCAACTCTCTGCTCGAGCAGCACGCCCATGCCGTTCGCACCCACCGCCTCCACCGCTCTGCACCGCACTCCGCCCCTGCTACAGCCTCTGCTGCTGGTGCTGGTGCTACAGCTGGGGCTACAGCTTCTGGTGCTGCTGCTGCCACAGGTGCTGCTGCTGGTGCGGGTGCTACTGCTGCTGCTGCTGGCGGTGCTGCTGCTGGTTCTGCTGCTGCTGCTGCTGCTGCTGCTGCTGCCACTGTTTCTGCAGGCACTACCCCTCCCCCCTCCCATGCTGCCGCTGCTGCTGTTCCTGGCGTCCCTGCTTCTATGAGGGGCCCTCCTAGTGAGTGGCATGCGGTAGAGTGGAATGCGGTGGAGTGGGTTGGAAAGGGATCATCGAAAGGGATGGGGGAGTTGGGGATGTGGGATGGAGTAATGAAAAAGTGAGGGAGCTAGTGGGAGGAGTGAAGGGATGGATCATGCATGCATGAGGTGGTTGCAAGGAACGTTCATCTTCTTTTCACCTATTCCTGTAATCTAAATTTTTTCAAGCTGCCCGTTTCCCTTCTGTCTGTTTGTTTCTTTGTTTGTTGCTCGTCCTTCCCCCCTCTCATTCTGTTCATCCACCCCTCCCTCATGCCCCCCTTCTCTGCTCTCCTCGCCCCCCATTAGCTTCCTCTCCCTCCTCCCCCATTCCCCCAACACCCCTCGCCGTCCCCCCCACCAGTGCATGGTGCAGCGCCCCCTTTCTTGCACCCTCACGCAGCCGCCGCCGCAGCAGCGGCAGCAGCAGCGGGGCATCACCCGCACCACCCCCACCACCCGCCCCACATGCTGCATCATCCCCACTCCGCGCACCCCTACTCCATGCTCCCCCCGGGCCAGCACCCCCCCCACATGCCCCCGCACGGGGTTCCCCCTGGCGCGCCCATGCCTCCCCCCATGCTGCCGGGCATGCTTCCCCCCCACATGCTCCCGTTTGGCCCGCACCCCCACCCCCATGCACACCCGCAGCACCCACACGCACATTCACATCCCCACGCCCACCCAGCTACTGCCGCTGGTGGTGGGGGCGGTGGTGGTGGAGGGGACATGCCGGTGTTAGGGGTTCCTTCCTCTGCTAACGCGCATGCTGCTGCCATGCATGCCCATGCGCATGGGATGTCCCATCCCCATGCACATCCCCATCCGCATGCCCTTGGCCACGCACATCCCCATGCGCATCCCCATGCGCATGGCATGGCGCACATGGCGCATGCGTCGAATCCTTCCTCTGCTGCTGCGGCAGCTGGAGGCCTCGGTCCTGGGGGGGGTATGGGGGCAGCAGGGGGGGCAGTGGGGGGAGGGCTTATGGGGGCACGAGGAGGGGGGATGGGGGCTCTGGGCGCAGATGGTGCAGGGGCAGGGGGGAGGGGGCGGTGGAGATGGGGGGGTTTGGGGAGGGAGGGGTGGGGATGGGGGGAGAGGATGGGATGGGTGGGGGAGTGGGGGGGGGAGTTCTGAAGCTAGAGCCGGGGGAGGGGATGGGGGATGAGGGGGGGGACGGGGGGGATTTGGATCTAGATGTGGGCATGGAGGAGGGGGAGGGGGAAGGGGCGGTGGGGGGAGGGGCAGGGGCAGGGGGAGGAGGAGGGGGAGGGGGAGGAGGGGGAGGAGAGGGAGGGGGCAGAGAGGTGGGGGCAGGAAGAGCAGGGGCGAGCAGTGATGATGACATGGCAGGGGTGGGCGGAGCTGCTGAGCTGGACAGTGACGGGAGTGACATGGCGTTCCCGTTCGGTTCAGTCGACCTCTCGGGTATAGGCATGGGCATGGGGATAGGCATGGGCATGGGGCTAACCTCTCTTGACGTCGGCCCCTTTTCCTCCTCCCTCGCTCTCACCTCGGCCAATCATGATGCTGCGTTTGGGTCGTCAACGCCCCCGTCAGCCACACGGGGAGAGGAGGATGGGGATGGAGGAGAGGGGGAGACAGGGCACCATCAAACCCACCAGCCGCACCACCACCCCCATCACCATCAACAGCAGCATCACCATGGTCATCATGCTGGCATGGACGCAGACCATCCGCAACACTCGCATCATCAGCATCATCAGCAGCGCCATCATCACGATGACCATCAGCATCAGCATCAGCAGCAACATCATTCAACACATGGTCACGAGCAAGGGAGTGCAATGGACACCACCCATCGCCATCACGATGCCAGCACCCATAATGGCCATGCACCATCAGCCGTAGGGGCAGGGGCACATGACATGGGGCCACATGACAGCACAGGCATGCACCCACCCCAGGCAGCAAGCCGGCACGAAGGCTCTGCTCCCGCTTCCTCTGCAGCTGCTGTTGGGAGGGAGATTGCTCTGGGTTCGCTGGGACACCTTCCAAGAAACTTCAGCCTTTCTGACTTGACTGCAGACTTCCCAGGCCCCCAAAGCGAAGGTGAGAGGGGGGAGGGGAGTGCGGGTTAGGGCAGGGGAATGGGAATGGGAATGGGGGGAAGAAGGGTGAAAGGGAAATGGGGGAGAACGGGAGATCAGGATGGGGAGAAAAAGGGGAAGGGGGGTGGAGAACGGGGAGCAGGAGTATGGGAGGAGGGGCGGGAACGAGGGAGAATGAGGAATGTTGTCAGAATCGTGAGTGCACTCTACCTATCTCCCCTCTTGTATCCCTCATCTGCCTCCCTCTCCTTCCACACCTCTCACAGACGGTCACTTGTTGGGGCTGCTGCCCCGCTCCCCTCCCTTCAGCCTGCTAGCCCCACCTGTCTTCCCCAATGGTTCCCCATATTCCCCCTTCGCCCCCCCATCTTTCCCCTTCGCCCCCCCGTCTTTCCCCTTCGCCCCCCCATCTTTCCCCTTCGCCCCCCCATCTTTCCCCTTCGCCCCCCATCTTTCCCCTTCGCCCCCCCCATCTTTCCCCTTCGCCCCCCCATCTTTCCCCTTCGCCCCCCCATCTTTCCCCTTCGCCCCCCCATCTTTCCCCTTCGCCCCCCCATCTTTCCCCTTCGCCCCCCCATCTTTCCCCTTCGCCCCCCCATCTTTCCCCTTCGCCCCCCCATCTTTCCCCTTCGCCCCCCCATCTTTCCCCTTCGCCCCCCCATCTTTCCCCTTCGCCCCCCCATCTTTCCCCTTCGCCCCCCCATCTTTCCCCTTCCCCCCCATCTTTCCCCTTCGCCCCACCATCTTTCCCCTTCGCCCCCCCTTCTTTCCCCTTCGCCCCCCCATCTTTCCCCTTCGCCCCCCCATCTTTCCCCTTCGCCCCCCCATCTTTCCCCTTCGCCCCCCCATCTTCCCACTTCGCCCCCCATCTTCCCCCACCACCTCACAGGTGGTCACATGCTGGGGCTACTGCCGGGTTCTCCACCCTTCATGAATGCCGAGGATGCTGACTTCCTGAGGCCAGCAGACAAAGGTACGCGTGCGCAGGGCAGTAGACACAGCTTGAAGGCTCTCTGTCTCTCGGTTGAGTTCTGAAACTTTCAAAACTCATACCTGGTGCCTAGTGGCCGTTGCCGTAAAGCTGCCTCTCCTGTCCCATGCACCCGTGTCCCAATGTCCCACCCTCCCAGCAGACCCCCATGTGAAGCTTGAAGGCTCCGTGTGACTTGGCCGACTAACTCTGGTTGACCTGACTGTGGTTGACCCCCCATAGAGTTGACTTTGGTTGACCAGAGAGCTGACTTCGGTTGACCGGAGAGAGTTGACTCCGGTTGACTCTTCTTGACCAGGAATCAGCAGCAAAGAGCCCAGTGGGTGGGGAGCGAGAGAAGAGAGTGCCTCAGATGGAGGGGATGGAGGGGGAGAGGAGAGGAAAGGGAGGAAGGGAAAGGCAGGAAAGGAAGGGGTTTTTTTAAAGAATTCTCAAAAACACCACTCAGGCAAAATGAAGGGAAAGGCAGGAAAGGAAGGGGAGGAAAGGAAAGGGAGGTGGCGCTGGGGTTGGGGGCATGCTGTAGGGAGGAACGGAGAGACGGCCACTGCTCGTGCTGTTACTATGGGACTCGTACGGTTGTCGGAGAATGGGAGCAGTGCTTGCTGCTGGGGTAGGAGAAAGTCAGGAGCTTGTCTTGGCGCGGCTGGGTCAAGTGCTGGGGCCGTGCATGGGATGCGATGGGAGCAGTGCATGCTGCATTGCTTTGAGGCGCCTCAAAACTTGAGTCAAGTGCTGGGGGCCGTGTATGGGATGGGATGGGATGGGATGGGAGCAGTGCATGCTGCATTGCTGTACCAAGGCCCATGCGTCAGTCAGTCAGTCCTCTTGAGGCAACTCAAGACGAAATGTACTGTACGCATTTTACATTCCTGCAAATCATTATTAGTATCAAAATAATTGAATAATGGTAAAGTGAGAGTACACACAAATATATCTAAGTTTTGTATCCTCTAAGAGGTGACTCTATACAGTCTATACAAACATGACAAATACACATGTTTGACACACCCCCTAGACTGCATAGGGGAATACCCTAAACAAGCAGCTCAGGGCGGCACTACTAGTCCAACCTCTGAGACAAGGGTCTGAGCGACCGGTCAGAAGGAGTACAGACAAGGCAAGCACAAGAGCAGGGCGGCACTGATAACGTAGAAACGAATGATTACAAGAGGTGGAAACCTAGAACAAATACTAGTTGGTTGTACTCACTAGAAGCATACCTCAGTCTAGCCTATAACTTCTACATAGATAATATGTATAAGTTGACACACCCCCTAGGCTAGACAAGGGGTGAAACTAAACAAGAAGCAAACAGCTCAGGGCGGCACTACTAGTCCAACCACTGAGGCAGGGGTCTGGAGACCAGTCAGCAAGAATACAACCAAAACTGAAGCAAGCCAGGGTGGCACTACTAGTCCAGCCACTGGAGGTAAGGCCACAAGGCCAGTCTGACAAGCATATATAATAGAGAGTACACAATCAGGATCCTAACAGGGGAGCAGCTATAGGAACAAGACCAAGCTGTACACAGTGCCGCTGATGATCTTTAGGCGCAAGCGCCTTAGTAAAGATATCAGCTGTGTTGGCACCTGAGGCCAAGTGAACTACGCGGGCCTAGCGGCGCTGCTGTAGCTCGCGCAGGAGGAAGTACCGCAGCTGGATATGCTTCGCTCTGCCCTCAAGCCGAGGCTCCTGACACAGGAGTATCATGGCCCTGTTGTCAGCGTACAGGACCGGGGCAGAGCTAGGCCGCTCACCTAAGTCAGTGAGCAAGAAGGTCAGCCAGCGGAGCTCCTGTGCCGCCATGGCACCAGCGTAGATCTCAGCCTCACAGCTAGACTGAGCCACAGACGACGAGCGAGTGGATCTCCAAGAGATAGCACCCGAACCAAGGCTGAAACAGTAGCCCTGCGACGACCTGAGCGTCTCAGCGTCGTCTGCCCAAGAAGCGTCTGTGTGCCCAGTAAGGACCACTGGCCTGCGTCCTCCTAGCACTAACCCCATGCCTGATGTACTAGCAAGATAACGCAAAACCCTCTTAGCGGCAGACCAGTGCTGAGGTCGGTGTCTGCCTGTAGCCACAAAGCGAGCCAGGATGCTGAGAGGGTATGCGAGATCTGGGCGAGTGCAAGTCATCAGGTACATGAGGCAACCCACCAGCTCTGCGTAGGGGCCACTGGGCTCTACTGGCTCCTCAGGAACGGGAGCAGAGAGCCCATGGTCTACGGGTAGAGGTGTGGGCTGTGCGGAGGAGAACTGAAGACCGAACCTCTGAAGGACCTGACGCACCAAGTGTGACTGGGTCAGAGTGATGGTGCGTGCTGCTCTGTCCCTAGAGATCTGCAGGCCAAGATAGCGACGCAGCTCTCCAAGGTCAGTGCAGGTGTGTCTCTTCAGCAGCTCAGCCTTCACAGAGGCCAGTGCGTCCCTGTCAGGAGTAGCGAAGACCAGGTCGTCTACGTAGACAAGGATGTAGAACGGAGTCTGGCCGGAACGCACAAACAGTGAAGGGTCAGCAGAGGACGGAAAGAACTGCAGGTCTGCTAACGTGGCACGTAGCGTGTCGTGCCACTCGCGGGGAGCCTGACGCAGGCCGTAGACCGGGCGCCTGAGAAGCCACTGGGTCCCAGGAGGGAAGGTACCAGTGAAGCCCTGTGGTCGGCGCAGGTAGACCTGCTCGTGTAGGCTGCCCTGAAGAAAGGCAGTAGAGAAGTCGAGAGAGTGAAGCTCGTAGTCACGCTGTGCTGCTACGTGTAGCAGCGCCCGAAGAGTGGTCATCTTCGGGGTCGGGGCGAAGGTCTGGAAGAAGTCAACCCCCTCGCGCTGACTGAAACCTCTGGCCACGTAGCGCGCCTTGAAGACAGGCGGCTCTCCAGGGGGACGCTTCACCTTGAAGAGCCACCGACCATCGACTACGTTCACCCCAGGCGGGGGAACTGCGTCGACGTAAGTGCCGGTGGATCTCCAAGATGCCATCTCCTGCTCCATGGCAGCTATCCACTGAGAGGCCCAAGGTCCCGAGGTGGCCTCAGCGTAGGTGCGAGGGGTCGGGATGTCGAAGGCGTCTGGGTCACCCTCAGGGACTAACAGCATGGAGCAGAGATGGGGAGCAGCCTCGGAAAGGAAAGCCAGCTCGTACTGCCTGTCCTCTAGGACGTCACTGCCAAGGGCAGGAGCACCCCCGACGGACAGAGGACGGGCAGGGTCAGAGACCAGAGCGGTAGCGTAGTCAAGGCGGCGGGTAGAAGCGAAGTCAGCGACAGCAGCGACAAGCGCGTCAAGGCGCGAGACAGGAACAGCAGGGTCGGTAACAAGAGAGGCAAGGACCCGAGGGACAAGGGGACGAGCAGCACGGAGGTAGTCAGAGGACAGCGGAGGAGACACAGGAGGGGAACGAGGAGGAAGACGGGCCGGAGACGAGTCTGGCGGCGGGAACACAGGACCGTAGACAAGGAGGTCAGGAGGCGGTGGGGGAGACACCGGCGCGCGGTCCGGGGAGGGAAGGCCGAGCAGGCGGAGAGCGGAAACCGGCGGCGACGGCTGCTGTGGCGGCGACGACGGCTGGGCCGGAACTCTCGGACCAGCAGAGGCAGAACGACCGTCGGCAGAACACTCAACAGCAGCACCCCCAGAACCAACACCCCAAGAGCGAGAACCCCCTCCAACACCAGCGGCACCCCCAGAAGCCGCAGGACGAACACCCTCCTCCACACCAGCACCCCCAGGGGCCGAGAGCAGCGGCGGCAGTGGCGGCGACAGCGGCGACGGCTGCGGCGGCGACGGCGACGGCGGCGGCAGCGGGGTCGGCGACTGCGACAGTGGGGGCGGAGGCACTGGGGAAGGGGGACGCGGCAAGGACGGACCGGGGGTACCACCAAAGTCAGCAGACTCCTCAACGGGGACAACCGACGGGAGGGGAGTGACGTGGGAGACACCAGACGGGGCAGGACGAGGCGGGAGAGGGGTAGGGGCTACCGGGGGAGAGGGAGCAAGGAAAAGGGGGGGGGCAACTGGGAGACCTCGGTGAGGGAAGCGGCGGTAGAAGGAGACGGACTCGTCAAAGGTGACGTCACGAGAGTGGAGGAAGCGGTGAGACGGCGGGTGGTAGAAAAGCCAGTCAGACGAGTCCAGGGGGAAACCGAGGAAGACACAGGGGACAGTGCGGGCAGTGAGCTTGTCCGTGCCAGAGGCACGAACGTGAGCAAGGCAGCCCCAGACGTGGAACGCAGACGCGTCACCGGGGGACCCGGTCCAAAGGAGGGTCGGCGAAACCTGCGGCCGCTGGGAGCGTGGCCACAGGTTAAGCTGGTGAGCCGCGTAGCGAACAGCGAACGGCCACAGAAAATGGGGGGCATCGGCATGGATCATGGAGGTACGGGCGACCTCCATGACCAAGCCGATGCGGCGCTCAGCAACCCCATTCTGCTGTGGCGAGTCCGGCAAGGTGTACGACTGAGTGATGCCCTCCGCACGACAGAACTGTCCAAGCCGACCAGAGGCGAACTCGCCGCCACGGTCGGAGTGGAGACACAACACGGGGAGACCGCGGTGGAGACGCGCAGCTACAACCCACGGGAGAAGAACGTCGGGCACGTCGGCCTTCCGCTCCAGGGGAAACACCGTGGTGTAGCGCGTGTAGTCGTCAACGAGCACAAGGAAGTAGCGCTCACCGCGCGGTCCGGGGACGGGGGCAGGGCCCCAAACGTCCAAGTGCAGGGTCTGAAGGGGGGCAGTAGCAGGACGCAGCGAGGAGGAGTGAGGAGCACGGCGGAGCCGACCCTCGACGCAAGGCGTGCACGGTGGCGCAGTCGAGGGAGGAAGGGCAGGGAGCGACGCGGGGAGACCTAAGACAAGACCGTGCTGGGACATGTGACGCAGACGCGGGAGAGCAGGGTGACCTAAGCGGTGGTGCCAGAGAAGGGAGGGGTGAGTGAGGGACCGACACGAGCAAGCTGCAGCGACCTGGGAGGACGCACCAACCGGGGGGGAAGCGGTGTGTAGGGTAAACAGACCGGACACCGGGTCCCGGGGGAACGTCGCAAGGGGGGAACCTGAGACAGCCTCAGAACAGACAGCGAACCGCTCGTGCCCGGGGAACGTGGTGGTGACGCCGAGGTCCTGGAGACAGCCGACACCAACCAGGTTCCTGGAGAACGAGGGAACGTGGAGGCCAGTAAGGGAGCCCGAGGGAACTGCCGGACAGGGAAGGGACGTAGAACTGCGCGCGACGACCGGACCCGCAGAGGGGTCAGCGAGAGAGACAACAGCAGGTGCAGCAAGCGGCGTGAGCGTGGAACGGTCGCGGAAGAAGCAGGCAGAAGCACCAGAGTCGAGAGTGAAGGACAGCGACGCAGTGGCGGAGGCCGCGGACGGAGCCGGTGCAGCGACTAGACTAGGCAACCTAGGCAGTCCTACGCCTGTCGCAGCAGGGGAAGCTAAGCTACACAAGGGTGAAACACCTAAACTAGAGTACACATGGTAGTAAGATCCATCAACACTAGAAGCGTCAGCATACAAAGCATGCAAAGCAGCACCTATCTGATCCATGTCTAACTCAAAGATCAGCACGCCCTGGCGGAGCAGGCTGTGCCAGTCAGGGAGGTCCGGGGCCGGGCCAAAGCGACGACGAAAAAGATCGTCGAGGCGGCGGAAACAGTGGGCGGTCGGGTGCGGGCGGCGGCACAGAGTGCCGCGGAGAGGCCCGGTCTGAAGCTGGTACTGGCAGGTCACAGCACTGGAGCCGCTGGTAGACGCCAAGCTGCGCGGGCCGCCACCACGGCCACCGCCTCCAGAGGTGCCGGGCCAACCAGGCGGGAGACGAGCCCACGGCTGCGGCGGGTGCTGCTGGGACGGCGGCTGCGGCTGGGGCTGGTCCTGCTGCTGCT